TGAAGCGGCTTCATGGGGGGTGAATAAAAAAAAAACGGGGGTAGAGTAAACGCAAATGGATAAAGGGGTAAATAGGCGGAGCAGGGGGGACGGGATTTCCAGGGGCGCGGCGGCGAATGCGGATTTCGAGGGTGGTTTTTTTTCGCAATTGCGGCGATTCCGGAAACCGGAGCCCCGGACCGATCGGGTCGACAAAGAGAATCCCAGGCCGGATATTCGAAGCTTGCGAGATTAAATACTGGTCGGGCTGTTTCGGCGCTGTGGGGTGGGACAGGAGGAAACCCGTAAAATGGGAGGAACGATTGGAGGAAAAATCGGGGAAAGAGGACGGAGGAAAAATCGGAGGAAAGGTTCGAGAAACCAGAGAAAAAAAAGGAACTCCGAGGAAGATGTCGGGGGTAAGGCTGAAGGACAATCGGAGGAAAAGTGGGGGGGAAATCGAAAGAGGTATCGGAGGAAAAGAAATCGTAGGAATAGAAAATCGTAGGAATAGAAAATCGTAGGAATAGAAAATCGTAGGAATACAAATCGTAGGAATAAAAATCGTTGGAATAAAAAATCGTAGGAATAGAAAATCGTAGGAATAGAAAATCGTAGGAATACAAATCGTAGGAATAAAAATCGTTGGAATAAAAAATCGTAGGAATAAAAATCGTGAGGAAATCCAAAAGGAAATTAGTCGACAATATCGCAGGAACGGAAAATCGGACGGGAACATCTCGCGGGCACAGAAATCGGAGGAAAACCCGGAGGAGGTCTAAAGTCCCCGAGTTGTTGCGAGCTCGAGGGAAAATCGCTCGAACCCTCGCCGGCCATTTTACTTTTTTCTCCCTCTCGAACTTCCATCCCCCTATTAATGGGATTACTCGGGAGGATGAATCGGGCCGAGCTTTCGCCGGTGGACGATCGCGGGGACGAGAATGGCCTCTCGTAGTCCTCGGGTCCTCGGATCAAAGAAATCCCCGAGGGCGTCCAATCGCGCGGATTGGTGCACTCGCGAATTATGCGAGCGCCGTTATCAGCGAGGGAAAGAAAAGAAAAAAAAAATAAATAAAAGTCCATTGTACCTCTCGACATCACACAACACTAGACGTCTATTCCGACATTGATTTCCGAACGGAACATAAATACTGTCAACGTAAAATTTTGCTTTACAATTCTCACCGATTCTTGGCGGAAAAATTTCTTAACACAAAACCCTTAACAAAAAAAAAAAAAGAAAAAAAATGTTTCGACAAGAAATGTTTTAAATCAAAATGTTTCAATAAGAGCCTTTATACATTTTTCTTATTTTTTTTTTTTTTTAACCTAAGACAAAAATTAAGAGAAAATGTGAGACATTGATAAAGTGATCCGGGAGGATTGGGAGGATCTCCCGCAGCTTATCATCCGCATTACGTCGAGCTGGTTAAATTGATTAGTGACAAATCGTTCCGAGGGGTTGTCTCGCATATCCAGTATAAGCAAGGCGGAATATCGGATGGCTTATGCGAATCTCGTCTAGATATACCGGATCGCTGCATAAATTATGCCACCTCGCGGGATTCCGCGCTTCTCGGATCGGCGGGAAAATCGCAATTAAAAGGCCGCAAAGCGGGACCCCTGCGGCCCATTGGGCGCGTATCGCGAGGAGAGCTCGCATTGAAAGGCTGAAAGCAGCTTTGTTCACCCTCGCACGCGCGAATGCATCTTTCGTGCGAATTCTGCCCGACTTAAGGGTAGACGCAACAGGTCAGCCGATAGCCCTGCAACATCGATTTTTCTTTTCCTCCATAATTTCCCTTCCCCAAGAATCTAAGGATTTACCTCGCATCCCCCAAATCATTAATTATTTCTCCGTCCCCGAATTCGCAAGAAAATTCCCTCCCCATCGAATCATCCCTCGCAACAATCGCACATTTAATTAAATAAAAATCAATTTGGCAAAGTACTCTGAAAAACGTCGTAAAAAAAAAATCGTCAGTCTCGTAAAACACACATTTTTCGAATCTTCAAAAATCTCCAGATTCGCGTATCCCTACTCGACACCCCAATAATAACTATTTAAACAATGAACCCTCCAATCCAAGCCCAAAAGTTCCAACGATGCATCGAAGAAACTCGAGGAACCGGGAGAATTTTTTTCCGCATGATAAAAAAAAAAGGGGGAGGGAAAAGAAAATTCACGAGAGCATAATAGTACGACATTTAACAATGAGAGTTCTCATCCGTTGAGTGAAAATCCCAGGTGAAAGCAGAAGTTCCCATTTTCCTTCGATCTCAAACCCGGCAATCAGGTCTGGGCTGAATCAGCGCGGCGAAAGAATCGCTGAGGGAAGGACAATGGCCGCGGGGGTGATGGGGGGAGGGGTATGCACCTCGCAATGAAGGTCCTTGAAGTACAGAAGGATACCACGAGAGGATCCATCGTGTCCGGACTAACTTATTCCATTGGACGGTGCCAGGAGTCCCGAAAGTCGCGCGATTCCCGGGGGACTTTTCATCCCGTGGGGGTTGGGGATGCACCCTCCCCCCCGGGGGGGGGAGGGGAAAAAGGGGGCGGCCAGAGTTGCCAGCGCACCAGAAATAATAACGTCGATGGCGGAAGCCGGCGAGACAATGCTTTGGCGAAGTTCGCGGGGGGTGTGTCGCCCCCTCCTGGGGGGGGGAGATGTGGGAGAAGGGCGACGGGGATGGTCCCAGGGCCGGCGAAAACAAGTTTTCGGGGTCTCTTATCACGGCCTAGCCAGCTGTATCGTTGTCGGCAAGATAACGAGCTCCTGTACCGAGGCACCCCCCCCCCCAGTATCTCTTCCTCCCCCAAGCCCTGAATCGCCCCCTGATCGAACCACCCCACCATGTACACCTTGGATGATGTAAAACGAGTCCTTCCACCGTAGGAACATTGCCTAACGAAGCCGGGGGTAACGATGCCAATTTGCCCTGCATTAGGGGTGTCTTCCTCTTGGTCGGTCCTCACCCTCCGATTCGCCCTCTTGGAGGGAAACTATCCCGGATATGTTAACCGTTCGCAATGGTCATGCCTTCCTTGCAATTCAACCCCTAATTCTGCAGTGGAGGGTGTCTTCCACCTCCTCGAGTTAGTGGGTAAAAAAAAAATCCTAATCGTGAAAAACAGGGAGACTATACCATTCCGTGTATTACGTGGAGATGCAAATCGTTATCACGAGACGTCGGAATAATTTCGACAAGTCAGGTTATAAGATAAATATACACCCCTCTCGAATCGTCCCGATCGATGCCGGGGATTAATCCACCCCCCCCCCCCAGGGGCGGTAGTAATTCCGCGGTTAACTTTATTCGGGAAAATGTACCTCGCGTGACGAGCGGAGCAAACGCCGAAACGAGTTATAAGCGAATCGCTCCGTGATAACCGGGGGTAGTTTTCCACGGGAGGGTAGTTCCCTGGATCGGCTTCCCAATCAGCGGGAATATTTCTGTCCACACCGTTCATGAGTCTTGAATGATTCAAAGCGATCCGGGGTGAAATGTAGCCCGACTCGATTGGGGATTTTCGACATTCGCACACCCCTTCTCGATTCCTTTTTTTTCTTCCCCATCCCCCGCGAGGAGATCCGTCCCAAGTCGTACGATTACGACATCGTGATAACGCTTTTATGCCTCTCCCAATTTTCTTCGTATTTTTAGACGACATTCGAAGTGTCGAACCCCTCGTTGGGGGGTTATTTCCACCCCCGGTGGGTATTCTTGACTTTAAAGGGTGTCTTTTTCCGAGTCGAGAGGACTTCGACGTTTCGATGAGGTTGAAAAAAATCGGGGCGATAAGCTGCATCCCCCACCACTACCCCGAGAGGTATCCCCCGATATTTTCCAAAAGTTTCCAGGCCCCCCTCCGCCTGAAACCTCCTCCGGGAGTTTCCTGGAGAGGGATGATCCTGGTGGAGAAAAGTCGCCCGATAGTCGGGGATGGATCGAAAAATCCACCCCTCCCCCCAACTCGGGGTGGTTCAGACCGGACGGGGGATTGGAAAACTTTCCATGGAGGGGTGGGAAAATCATAAAAATAATGTGGAGGTGGTATGCAGCACAAGACCTCAGGGGGTGCGATTAAAGCGAGCGATCGCTGGACGTTGCAACCCTTTATTCGGATTTAGGGATGGAAAGGCGACCGGAGCTTTAAACTCTAAATTCCCTGCGAGAAGCTTTATGCTCGTTTCCATTTTATCGTGTTTCGAGTTACCGAGTTACAAAATAAAGTACTGCACGGAGGGACATGCAATCGAAGACCTCGGGAGGTGCAATTAAAAGAGGGTGATTGCCGAACTTTGCAATCCTTAATCCAGATCCAGGGGGTGAAAACTCGACCAGGGTCCCAAACTCCTCAGAGAATCTTCACTCTCATTCGTTTCCCTTTTATCGCTCCGGGATATCGACGAGCCACCCCCGAGTAGTAAAAACTTCCTTATCTCGTAGATTACATAATATCGCTCGTCCTGAAAGTAGTTACCCTCTTGAAGGTATCCGTTAATTATCAATAATTAATTGCTACACCTTTACTACTGACACGAACGATGAGTACTTATCCTACACTCCTCAATAAACTCCTCTGTCAAAACACTATCCTTCCCTAACACCTCTTCAACAATGAAATGTAAACACCGCAAGCCTTGAAATACCCCCGAGATTAATTATCACCTCACTATGCAAAGATAAAGTTAACATGGAGAGTAACAAATAACGTTACCAGGGAAAAGTTGGGAAGGCTCGTACCAGCGGCTCGTAAACCAAGTGATAAGGGGTAGTGGAGGTCCAGGGTACCGATAAGACGTCGAGTCTGTCGGAAGTTTCTGAATTTGAAGGTGGACTTCCAGAAAGTGATCGGTAACGGAGATGAATCCGAAGATGGGGTCCATGGGGGGTGCACTGGGAGGGGGGATTAATTTGACTAAAGGTTTTTTGTGGGTTTTCCGGCTGTGGGGTGTATTTTAAGTGATAAGGTGATGAGGTGATTAGACGATAAAAAGTTTATCGGATCTTACCTGCAGGGCTAGCCTCTGGGGGTCGCGGAGTCGGCGGCGCCGCGGAGGTGGCGGCTGGGGTGTCCTGGGCTGCCGCGTCGAGCTCGCCCGGGCGGCATGGCCTCCCCCCTCGGCGGCGCGTCCTGGGGGCGGGATGCTCCGCGTCGCCCAGGACCTCCGCTCGAGCCTGCCGCCGGCGTTCGAATCCCGGTCGAATCGTCTACCTGGGTCCAGCGGATCCACGGGGGGTCCGGCTCGCCGGTCTCACCTCACCTCACCCCGGGGGACGCGGGAACGACGCAGGCGACGATGCAGGGTGCACCTCTCCTCGAGAGCCGCGAGTCCTGGCGACACAGGACACGATGGCCCGGCCACTGCGCCGGCACTGAGGCTACGCCGCAGCCGAGGCCTCCTGGTGCTCGCGCCCGCCCCCCGCTACCCCCACCCCGCGGCCCGAAACTCGGATCCCCCACTCCGTGCCCTTTCTCTCTGCTCCTCTCTCTCCCACCCGCACGCTGTATGCGAGCACGACGAGGACAGACCGAGGCCCGAGCCGGGTAGCGACTCTCCTGCCCGCGCGAGATGCGGGCTTTCTCTCTCTCTCCCTGTCATTGTGCGCGGGTAGGTTCGTCTCTCTTCTCGCTCCTCGGGCACCTACTCCTGCCCGCACGAGATGCGGGCGTCCCTTCTCTCTCGCACTCGCGGCGCAGGCATGCGGGTGTCTCGCTCCTCCGCTCCTCGGGTTTCTTACTCCTGGCCGCGCGCCGCCCCACTCTACCTCACTGTCCGCGTCCTGTCCCGACTTATTTATCTTTCTTTCTTCCCTTCTCGTTTTTCCTCGTTCCTCCATCCACAATTGTTTTCCTTTCGGCGGAAAAAATTGCACGTGCAGGGGAGTACTTCCTGCTTAGCGTTACCTCGAAGCAACTCGCCGCGATTTCTTTGATGCGCTTTCTCGCGCCGCCATGTTGGGGTCAAAAATGGCGAATTAATCCACTCGGAAGGTCACGGTTATCCGTTGCGGCGGTCGCGGTTCAAGGTTCATGCAAATCACGGGACGGTAAGGGATATGTATGTTTCTTGAGCTGTGGGGGCAAGGGGCAGGTTAAATGGTCGTCTCGGTACATAAATTCTCGGCGGCCGCAAACCAATATGGCCGCCGCCGGCGGTTTTCATACGTCCCTGCGCGCCGCCGCCGCGTAAACCTCAAAAGCCACTGTAATCATGACATAGGACGTATTGATCAATTAAAACGTTCGATGCGATGCATCGAATGCAGGGACGCGTTAGTCAGACCCGTGTTTATGCAAATCCGAGCCGGCTTCGCGTATTTCTCGCGAGGAAGCCGATTATCGTGAGAGGTTAAACGGCCGTTTCGAGACATAACCTCTCTAGGTCGGACGAGAAACTGCTTTATCGACCGGGAGCAAAGGTTGCACGCACGTCCTTGACACCTTCCTCCTGAAGAGACAAGGCCAGCCTTTATTTCTCTTTTATTTAGTCCCATCGTCCTGGATGATCGATTCGAGGATCTCGAAATCGAGTGGCTTTCCAGGATATTAAGCGGATCAGGAGCGATCGATTACTGGAACACTTTCATTCTTATCGCGCGACCTTTCGATCCGTTATCCAGTTCCCCATTAGGTGGTAATTAGGGAATCAGCGATGTAATTATCGATAGCTGATCTGCGAATTTTTATAACCTTCCAACTGCCAATATTTATCATCGAATAAAGAATCTTTCGCAAAGTTCCAGCGTGAATTTCACTTCTGAAAATTTCCATCCCCTCGGTTTCACGTGTCGTCCACCTCCTGCATCCTTGGAGCAAAGTTTCTCTCGTTTTCCGGAAACGCGGAGATCGGTATCCTCGGGCCCGGCCCCGATAGCGATTTTACGCGTCGCGGAAACCGCGCGGGCGTCACGACGCCCATTGTAAACGGCCGACAATGGTGGAAAACGCGAGCGGCTCTCCCGCTCGGGAAATAGACTTTGCTCCTTTTGTCTTCTCCTTCCTGCGGTGGCCGAGAGGTAGACGTCGACCGAGCCTACCCCCAAACCTGGGGATTTTATTTTTTAAATATTCTTTCCACCCCCTTTTCATATTTTATTTTAATTTTCAGGATTTTTCGGCAAACCCGGAAGAGTGACGTCGACCGAGCCTACCCCCAGACCTGGGGATGTTATTCCTTGTAATACTTTTTCTCCTCCCATTTCATATTTTATTCGGAACTTTCACGTCCTTTTGACAAAGTCGAGAAACAGACGTCATTCAAGCCTAACTCTAAACGTGGGTATTTCTTTTTTAAATATTTTTTCCAGCCCCTTTTCATATTTTATTTTAATTTTCACGTCTTTCCTGACAGGATCGAGAGATAGACGTCGGTAAGAACTGGGGATTTTACTTTTCTCCAATTTTCCTTCCACTTTTTACATTTTAATTTAATTTCCACGTATCTCTTGACAGGACTCTGAGAGAGGTAGCCGAGATATGAAAACCGGAGTCCTCTTCAGGAAGACTTCTTTCTACCACGCTCTTAAGACGCCAATATTTCTGTTTCCTCAAGGCGAATTAATTTCTCGATGTTTTTATACTTCTAGGAAAAGGACTTCCTCTCTTGATGAGATTACGGAGCAGGCGCCGAGGTAAATAAGGACCTCGTCGATCTATTTACCCTCTTTTCACGGATCTCTTTTCCGATTTTAGCACCATTCAGTCCGGAGAGGTGTATAACGCGAGTTAGTTACTTCTTCCCGGAGAGAGGGAATATCCTTTCCGGTCGTCCTGCGCCTCTTCTGGGAGATGCGGCCGATATAAATCCGCCAGGATTCAGGGTCGAAGACTCGCGTGCCGGCCGAGCCTTGGAGAGCACCTGGTGGCTATTTAAACGGCGCTTTTATGCAAACCTAGGAATAAATCAGCACGCGCAGACCTTACTCCAATTTCCGCGGGTTTCGGTATTTGCGGATCCGCCCGCGTGTTTGTCCGCACTTACCCCGATCCGCGGAGTTTCCGCAAATCGCGGCCCGATGCGATCCTTCGGGCTCGTCTCCGTCTCGATCGCCCAATTCTTCTGATAAGATCGAAAAAAGCCTCCTGACATCTAAACTAGGAAATCTAGTCCAAGACTGTTATCAATGTCCTTTGAAATTTCTTGAGAAAAAATTCTTTCAATCCAGATTTACTTTCTAAGGAAACGGGTGGACTCGCGTCGTTGATAAAAATTCGAAATATCTCCTGATAACGCTGCAGAGCACCCCGGAATAATTAATAAGCTTCGGAGGACTCCTCGGCGGGCGAAACTTGGCTTTACAGGATTATCCCGGCAACAACTGTAACTTTTACCATATTCAGATTTACCTGACGTGCCCGAATTTCCGTATCCCGTATTCCGGTTCAACTATCGAACTAATGTCGAGTGGTACAGGAAGTTCCGGAAGTGCCCCGTTTCGGAAATTCTAAGGACGTTAAGCGTCGGCCATAAATGAGCGGAAAGGAGCGAAAGGGACGAAGACGGGTGCAGATCGCCTCGTAAACGTTAAAATGTGATTTTGCAACTAATTCGGCGGATTTACTTTGCACGTGCAAGTTCTATTACCGAGTCTTTGCATTGATCCTAAGGCAATTCCGGAACCATTTACGGGATATGCCGCTGAAACTACAAATTTTCCAGCCCATTGGCGTTATTACCTGCTCCGCGATATTGGCTGCATAATGCGCTTTAAATGTCGCCCACACAATTACGCAATATCCAGCGTAACGCAAAACGGCGAGATTTACGCCCGAAAGTTTCCCAAATAAAATTTCGGGATATGAATTGCACAAGAATTCCCGGATTTCCTATATTTAAAAATGCGCGCACGGATTTAATACAAGGCAACTTTTTTAAATAAAAATGGCGTTCTTACCTGCTCGGCGATTTTGGATGCATAATGCGCTTTTAATATCGCCCACACAATTACGCAATATAGAGCGTAACACAAAACGGCGGGATTTACGGATATGAATTGCATGAGAATTTCTGGATTTCCTATATTCAAAAATGTGTGTACACATTTAATACAAGGTAAGTCATTGACGAAAAAAAAATAAAAGGAGAACAAGGAAAATTTTTCGGTCGCTCGCGCCGGATTTTCCGGACTCTTTGAATTTTCGGTAAAATCCTGGATTTAGTCTAAAAAGGTTTCACGAAAATTTCTGGATCTCTTTCACTCAAGGATCTACCCATGGATTTGATAACTTTTTGAAGGAAAAAAAAAGGAAGAAGAGAAACCAAGGAATTATTTTCCGATAATTCGCGCTCGATTCCGCGGATTCCCGGAATTCCGGGTGATATCGGGCATGAATCCGTGCCGATTCGCCCGCAATTTTGGTTCCCGCGAGATCATAATGCCGATGAATATTTCGGGCGCCTCTCGCAATGTTTCGGGGTAATCTCCGGGGCCCGTGTTATCGATTGTCGAACGCGCAAATGGTCTCGCCCCCGTCTGGTAAATGCGCGATTAACGCGTCGAAACGGATCCACTTGATTTGCATAATTCGCGAGCCGGGGGATCCATCCATCCCTGAAATGGTCGTTTTCTGGTGGTGGATAGGAGGACCTCAAGGACGACCTCCCAGGATTACTGGGTTTCTTGGGAGAGCCATTCGTCATCGTCCTCGTTATCTCTGAGTCTGAAGCACTCCCTCCAAAATCTGTCCATGGTGTGATAAAAATGGGCCTGGACGTTGGACAGACTATGAGCCTCGTCGGTGTATGTGACTTGTTCGAAAGGGATGTCCTCCTCTTCCAGAGCCTTGGCGAGCAGCAAGGATTGCTGATAGTGCACGTTATCGTCGCCTGTTCCGTGGATCAGCATCAGCTTCTTCCCTCGAATTCCCTCCACTCTTCTGGTCACGTCGCTGCAGTTGTAGCCCATCGCGTTGTCCTGCTCCGATGGACACCCCATGTACCTCTCGGAGTAGATCGTGTCTATAAACAAATCGCTCATAAACTTGACCTTCTGATTAAGGGGACGTAAAAGTGGCATCGATCGTTTGTGAAACTTTTCTCCAACCTGGTACACCGAATTCCCTCAAACCTTACAACCTAAATACGAAGGCTGTAAGAACGGGCCTAACACCCATGAAATTTCATTTTTATTACATTTGTTACTAGACATTTGAGAAATTATTTATAAAACATGAAATTTCAACGGTGTCAGAACTTTCCTTATCAGCTTCCTATTCGTATTGCACCTTGAAACAATTCCGTGTATCCAGTTCGGAGGAAAGTTTCATCGACGAGACATTGACATGACCTTAAATAAATATTGAAATTTTATAATATCTACGGCGAAGAGGTAAATGTATAATTCTGCTGTATGGGTTTCGTGGGTACTTTGGGTGTATAAATTCTGGAGAAAGAAAAAAAAAAAGAATAGTAATTGGTTCACTCACTGTAGTAGATCCAGGAGGTGACCGGGGCCACGGCGATTCCGCACTTGAAGATGTTCTGGACATCCGTGGCCAGGATCATGGACGTGGTGAAACCTCCATAGCTCCAGCCCCAAACTCCGACCCTGCGCGGATCGATCCAAGAGTACTTACTCAGGAGGTACCTGAAGCCAGGAAGTCATGAGAGACCGATTTAGACATTTCCCTGAGGCCTCCAATCAGCCATGAACTTGGATTTTTTTCTCTTCAAGGTCTACTAACTTGGTAACCTCGATTTGGTCCTCGACCTCCCCGGAGCCGAGCCGCTTATACGTGGCGTGTAAAATCTTGCTTCCTCTGAAAGCGCTTCCACGACCATCTATATAGGCGTAAATTATGCTTCGGTTTGTCGTCAAGTACGATTGGTACCCATACCCTGAAGTGTCAATTATCCGAAGAGTGTCCGGTGCGCCGTACCTGGGGACAAGATATTGTTTACAGGGACCAAAGCAACGGCATCAAATCGTTTTTCATGGGGCATTAATTATGTATGATCGTCAGGTCCACTGTAAAAGTAAAACACAATGATACCCTGTAAAAAAAAGAAATACCGCAATTTCGGTGACATTTCCAAATTTATCAAAGGCGCATTAATGCTCCTCCTCAATTTTCTAGGATTGTGACGCGATGCTATGGGGTTTTAATTTAATTATGGCTAGTGCCTTGTGCAGGAATTTGTATGGGGTATCGGAGAGAAGGGTGTCCGAAATGCCGTATAAAATTTAGATCCCGAAGAGTGGACAAAACAGGGGCATTAAACGTTCATAATGGCCTGGAAAATGTGCCGAAGGGAATCCGTGCGAGCCCGGCCCTCCGAGATTGCGCATCATTCCGATGCATTTTTCATGAAGTATCGCGTCCTCGCGTACAGGAATAAACTGCAACTGCGTAGCAGGCTCGCTGTAAACACGTTAGGGAGAAACAGAGCAGTTCACTCATGTACTTCGAGTCTGGAGGGCTCATGAAAGAAACATCGGTACTTAATCCCCGGTCGTTGGATTCGTATCGGGCCGACTTCCGGAGCGGCGAATAAATCGAGGTCCATTCAAGAAGCGGAAGGTCAGGGGTTGTTCCGTGCAGAAAACCTGGGGTAAAAATACCCCAACGAGGCCCTCGAAGTTGCATGATTTATATCGGAGTACGAGGCCTTTCCTGATGCGGTGATTAATGAAGGGTGGAGGATTAACCGGATCGGGTGCGTTGAGCCCGAGGCTTAAAATCCAGAAACCGAGCTCGATGTTTCACTCTCCTTCAACACCTACTCGATATACACCCCAAGATGTATGCATCGAGGTGGGTGAACTTCAGGGTGGCTTTTCCCCTGGAAGTGGGGAAGAATGATCGGCAAGGTGGATAGATAGGCGCCTAAATGCGTTTGGGAAATGGCAGGATATTTTACCACGGGAAAAAGTCACTTTCCGGAAGAATTGATATTCTCGCTTCGAGTGCATCTTTACTGGCTCCTGTCAAAAAGGCGAAAAAAAAAAATAGAATCGATCAAATTAAGGCGAACCACGACTACACTCAATTTTTTTTAGCTCAGCTTCGACTAATCTTGACATTTCTTTTTATACGTAAACGTGATAGAATTAACAGTGGATACACTTGCATGAATTTCAAGCAATATTTATCCGCCATTAATGATAATAATTTTGTGTATCGAGTGCCAAGTAACTAGAGTTCAACGCGACATTTGATCAGATGGATGACATTATCTTTGTACCTGAACATTAGGGGTGGATTTCTTTTGGCGAAATTATTTCCATCATATAATTGTTATCTTTGGTAACGTTGATCATTTCTAGAAAATCAATTTCGCGAGAGTTTCCTTTGGTGAGGAGCATTTAGATCGCCGCTGGCAGTTGATTCTTCGTAGAAAGTAAAGTTTTAAAGTGTGGAATCGAGGAGCCGTACTCGCAATGAAGGATACTCACACGTTAAGGATCAGAGGGTAGCTCTTCTTCTTGGAGAAGTTCGGCGGGAGGAGTAATCTAACTTTACAGTCGTACCCATTGATATTAACGGTCAAATCCTTGACTGTCGGCTGCGTTCTGGCGGCCAATTTTTCTCGAAGGGGTTTGTTCTCCTCCCAGGAGGTAACCAACTTGTGATTTGAATCGTAAATCCGGACGGTGGAAGGATCGGGTCCTAAGCAAGTTAGGGAATAATGCGACTTGTCCCTGGAGAAACTTGCGCTAACGTAGGTGCAATTGTTCCCTGAAATCAAATAAGGAGGCGCGCACGAATCGTCAGGAAACTCTTGGAACCTTGTGAGAACCTCTGATAATTCTATCCCACGATATTAAAATTAATATCAATATTCGGAGGACGTAAAAGGCAGCATGGCACTCCGAGAGATCAATCATTCGTAAAACTTTTTCATGGAAACGAGTGTACCGAATCGTTTCAAATCTCTGCAGCGTCAATGCGAAAGCGCATGAAGTTTCATTTTCTTTTCTTTTTTCAATTTGAAATTGTATGGTTGTTAGGACCTTCCTTATAGCCTTAATATACGATTAATAATCGACAGAGAAATTAATTTCTCCTTTACCTTCAGGAGACTTCTGGGCACAGGAGAGGCATATCGGGTCCTTTAGTCGATGCACATCCACGGAATAGAGATTCCTCTGAGAAGCGTGGTTCTCACCTGTGGCCAGGTAATAAACCGTCTTCTCATCCACCCCTAGAATCGACTGGACCGATATTTGCCCCGGGGTCAGGTCGACCTCGTTCTCCAAAACGCCGTCCTTGTACTCGTACCTGGTCAGGTGGTTGTACCTGCCAGCCGAGGTGTTGGTTCCCTGGTATTTCGCAAGGAAAAGGTACTTATCCTTCAGGAACACAGCTTTCGGGACGTGCACCCATCCCTTGGTCTCCTCCAACGTCAAAATATTAGTCTTCTGTCCCGAAGTCTCATACGCCGTCAGAACGCCGACATTCTGCATTCGATTGGTCCAAACGGCAAGAATGGTCTCCTTATTCAACCAAGTGACAAAGTAGAGTATATTATCCCTATAAAAAATTACTCCATCACTCACGGTACATAAATTAATATTTCTTTTTTTATCAACTTACGTCCCAACGATCGACTTAGGCGCCTTCAATCTAATCGCCGATGAGGTGACGTCCGTCAGGTCGACGACAGACAACGTCACGGTAGGATTCGCAGTCCCAGCCTGAAAGTCAGTTTTCCATTGACATTATTCAATATTAACATGTAATAACTTACAATATTAATTTTTCTTTTCTCGTATGAAACTTCAAGAGGTGTAAAAATACATGTAAGTTTTAGTTGATTCTTATCAATGGGCAGCTGGTCATTATCGCAAGTATTCAAATGTCCCCGATTTTGCGTAACCCTCTGAATCGAGGATAATGGCAGAGCATTGACAAATTGTCATCGTTTCCGAAAGACCAATAATACTGTCTTGGCCTGGAAACAGCCGTTCCCGAGGGCACCGAAGAAGAGGAATCGCGAGTATAAGAGCTCGAAACGGGATAAAGCTTTCCAGGTTTGCTCGAGCTTTTGTGCCGGTGCAATTGTGTGCACGTGCACGGACTGCACCGAGCTAATAATTCCCTGGCCAGCACACATGCACTTGCAGATGCACGTGCATGTTTCCGCACATTCACCGGAGGACATATCGGGGAGATAAACATCCATTAAGGACAAGCGGACCGGATAACCCTTTCATGCCGAAAGGCCTGCCAAGACATTTATGGACAGTTAAAATGGCCGAGGTCGCGTCGAAGATGTTTTTCCAGAATCATGAGGACATTTGATCTCGATTTAAGACTGAGAGAAAAAAAAAACATAGTCGGTTGAAATATGCATTGCGATAACAAAATGCAATCAAATAAGTCGAGAGAAACGAAATTCCTTTACGTCGACATGAATTTTTTCCTCTCGATAAAATAATTCTTTCTTGCGATTATATATGATTATATAATGGACTCGAGGATCGATCGAGTATCCATAATCGCTACGTCACCTTAGGATATCTGATGCTGACTTTCTTGGGGTATTGATAATTAATATCTCCAGGTTCACCATAGTAAGGATACCAAATTTCGCCGACGTCAGTGTCGTCATAAGTTCCATAAGCGAGGTACTTCCCATCGGGCGAGAACCAAAGTGCCGTTGCTGACCCGATAACTTCCTCTGAAATTCAGAAATAATCCGTGATATTCCCTTCCCTCCGAAACAGATAGTGTTGAAATGAAGGAAGAAACGTATAAAATCGGGAGAAAATCCCGGGAAAGTGTGGGATGATACGGGACGACGTGAGACGACATAAGACGACGCGAAACGACGTAAGAAGACTCGCGAAGGCGTGTAGCGAGGATTTATAGACGCGGTTCATTTTTTTTTCTTTTCTTTTCTTTTTTCAAATTTTTTGTCCAGGACCTTCATAGACCCAGTCGCCGCGTCCATTGAAGACCACTCCTTCCTTTCCATCGGAGGTCAATTTTCGGATTTTCTTTACGCCGTGCGAGGTGTGACGATAGTAGATATTGTTCTTGCGGACGTAGACCAACCCATTGCCAACCGGAGCCCATTTTGCAACGGAAAGGTATTCGTTTTCGGCTAATGGCTGGTACGTGCTTTAAAACACAAGAAAAAAGGCGTTTAAACGGGTTCCAGATCACTACGGTACTCTTAGACTACAGATTCCACGGGAAGAGAGGAAGTAATCCAACCGAGTGGCGTCCGGTATCGCCACTTTGTTTTCATTCCAAAGACAGAGGCGAATTAGTCCCCTAAATTAATTGCAACGCATCCTTACTCCTGCTCGACGTCGTAGACGGTGAACTTCCTGAAGGAGGAGTGCCGGAATCCCTGGAACAGGACAAAGTCACTCGGAATTCGATTAATGCCGATCGCAGATCATCTCACCTTAATCTGATCGAACCCGATCAGTAGATACTTTCCATCAGCTGATAAGGAGTAGTAGCTCGTGTCGTAGCCTGCCTGGAAATGATATAAGTGATAAGCGCCTTGTCTAGCCAGACATCGATAAACGCCGATTTTTCGTACTAGCCGAAATTTAAGAAGGGAAATTCTTTAAAACCTTTTCGCTGCTTGAAAATAGAAAAAGAAAAAGAAAAATACGGAAAAGCGGGTTTTTCAGCATTTTCGTGTTTTTTAATTCGGGCGACGATAATGGCGTCGTAACAAGAGGCGTTTAACAGGTCCAGAGAGGCATCGTCCGGACGATAGCTAAGGTTTACAGAGGCCCGTTTACACGCGGGGTTTACGGCCATCTTTTATGTACACCGTTTATGCATTTTCCGGGGTACTGAATACTCCGTGAAATGCGACCTCGACAATGAAACTCGGGATATCGTGCTTTCCTCTGTTTAGCCGGCTCGGTCTTTCTATAGACGTCTGATAAACCCCTCGTCGATTGTTCTTATTTAGCTATCCTATCTTCTGCTGAGAATCGGGCAAGAGACGCTCACCAGCACGTTGCACTTCAGGAACAAAGTGACGTTCCTTGTGTTTGAATCGAACTTGTTTATGTGTCCGGTTTCTCCGTCCAGGTAGATGAACTCGGAAGAGGAGATCCAGGTGCCGTTAAATGTTGTTGCCGCGTACTCGTCCGAGTAGCATTCCTCCAGGTAAAAAGGATGTACCTTCGAGGTGGTCTCTCGACGTCGGTGGAGGTCGGGCCTCGCCGAGGCCAAGGAGAAGACGAGGAAGAGGAGAGCCCTCGAAAGCGCCTGGAAAAAGGGGAAAAACGTTAATTCCCTATCCCTAAACATAATCTAATGTTTAGATATATCGCTCAACCCTGCGTATATTCTTCAATCCCATTAAAATGATAAATTTACACGGATTGCATTTAAGAGAAAAATGTTATTCCGGGGTGAGCTAGATTCACTCATTTTTCTTGGTCCAGACTTTGGAATTTCGTGACGCCTTCTTTAAAGTCTTTTTCTTTTTTTTTTCACAAACAATATACCAATTTCATATGATTTAATTTAAAAGCGCCGTAAATATATGTTATATACACAAAGCTATAACGTGCGGAGTTACAATATTCGTTCGGAAATTTAGAATAAATGTGTGCGGATTCACCGTAAATGCGATTTGTAATTGTTTTTGCCGCAAGTTTTGTATGTAGAAAAATTCCTTTGTCGTTTAGAAATATTTTTAGCGGGGTACCCTGGTCATTTCGGAGCGGAGTCAATGCAATTTCATCCGAGAGAACCGGTCGGAGGAGATCCAAGAATGTTCAGCAGTGGTCACACCTGTCGCGAGACCTGGACGCGACTGATAGCCGATCCCTCGGGCGGCAGGTGAAGAGCCACAGGTGCCTCCACCTGATACTCGAGAGAGGGATATCGTCGACACGAGGACTTATGGCATATACGATATACATTCGGCCCGCCATTTCGCCCCGATCGCGAATTACAGATCAAAGACGTACTAGCGACATACGATAGAAATCCCGGTCTTCTTCAGACTTTCGAAAGTCCTGCTATCGAAAGCGTGCCAAAGTTTCATGTCGCCATTTGTCGTGCCATTTCGACCCGCCGTCTAATCACGACCGGGAAAATTCGTGACATCCGTGATTGATATCTCCTTAATACATCATAAGGAAGTATGAAAAAGAGGGTCCTTATCACCGAAATTTCAGGCTGAATGATAGTGACCAGGAAGACTGAGCGTACATATACGCTAATGATGCAAATGGGTTAATTCACATCCACGGATTCCGTTCGATGATTACCGAACAAAACCCACCTTTATTAAACAAGGAAACCTATGTGTCCATTGGTCACGCTTTTGGATTTAAAATAATCTTTCCTACGGCGCATTTTTTTTTAATCACTCGACATTCACACTAAGCACGCTATTAAGAACTTTTAAGAATTATAGTCTAATGTCGGGATAAATTTTACGGATTTAATGGAAGTCTCGGAATTCTTAAAGAAATTCGCCGGTTAATGATTTATGAACATTATGCATGGTCTGTATCTTGTTTAATGTTCATCATGATATGATAACGATGTCAATGTAAACTGGGTAAAGGACGTACGAGCGATCGCTGTCCTCGAGGGATTTCCATTTTCGAGGATATGCCACTTGGGACGTCGCGGATATCACCGACGTCGCGGATAACACGGATCTCCTTGCTGATCACTCACATCTCCGGATCATCCCGGGTCATACTGGGATATTCGCAAATCGTATGGGTGTTATCCGACCAGTAGAGTGGCCATTATCATCGCTTAAAGAATTCAGCGTGATACGTCATACTCGTGCCCCTGAGTACGTCACCGACGACCAATCACGGCTAATCATACCTTTTGTACTTCGCGAAGTATTCCAAGCACATGATCATATTTCCCCTAAATCTTTAAATCTCAGCGTGCAAATAAATATTCCCCCGGTTCAAATAAATATTCATAAATATTCCCCCGGTTTCTCCACGCGGAAATAAATGATAGCAGGTCTTTTTTCTGCACAAAAAAAAAGAAATTGGGATGATAAATCAAGCTTCGGTGAGCTGAAATTTCGCTCGATAAAATCGAGCGGCGGAGAACTTCGCCGCTCCATCTGTGAAGGTTCAGAGGAAAGAGAGCGATACTCTGACGGTAAAACAGTTTCGGAAAGCAATTTTACCGACCACAGAAAACAGCTTCCCTACGGTTGAATAAGTTCACGGATACCTCTTCTCTACAGAGACGAGTTTGTTGACTCTGCCCATGAACTCGGAAATCTCACATTGCGGATTCTATCAAGGCTGCGAACTCGTCGACAGGCAAAGATAAAGAAAAGTGGTAGTCTAAAGAAAGGTTTTATAGGAAAATAATTAACATACCCAGCGCATCTAGCCTAAACGTTCATTTTTCAAATTCGCAGGATGTCAGGGACGTCATGGCTGGCAGGAATTAGAGGTCAGGATCTCTCGATCTAGAAATCATGAAATTATTAGATAACGAAGATGAAAATGTTACGTTAAACGGGCAAACCGAAGATTTCCGTTTATTCGATATTCTCCAAACTGGTCGCCTGGTGATCGATCGCAGAAACAAGTACAGTCCGTGTACCCCATGAAGAGGGTGGTACGCGTTAAAGGGTAAAAAATCGCGGGTGAGCAAAATATCCGAGTATATAAGATAATGAGAAGCTTTATAGGGAAGTAATTCCTTCACCAAACGGCATCTAACCTAATTGTTAATTCTCCAAATTCCCAGGATATCGGAAGCGAATCGCCACGAAGAGGGTGGTACGCGTTAAAGGGTAAAAAATCGCGGGTGAGCAAAATATCCGAGTATGTAAGATAATGAGAAGCTTTATAGGGAAGTAATTCCTTCACCAAACGACATCTAACCTAATTGTTAATTCTTCAATTTCCCAGGATAACAGAAGCGAACCACCACGAAGGGGGTGGTACGAGTTAAAGAGTAAGGAAGTCCAGGGTCTCTGGTCATCCAGAAATCATTAGATCGTTATTAAAATGTGAAAATGAAGAAAATGGGCAAACCAAGCCTTCCATTCATCGAATATTTTCCAAACTGGCCGCCAGGTGATCGATCGTAGAAACAAGTACAGTCCGTAGACACCACGAAGAGGGTGGTACGCGTTAAAGGGTAGGGAAGCGCGGGCGGACAAACTACCGGAGTATATAAGCCGGCTCAAGGGGAGCTTTTATAGTCTTTCCGATTTTCGCGGCGACCTCTACCACGTCGTGGGCTAGACCTCGATCGCAATGGATCGTCACGTACGATCGAGGACGTCATAGCCGGCCTATGAATAGCAGGGGCCTCCAGTGTTGCGTAGACTCTTGGATGGTGGCCATCCAAGACGCGTTGCGTCACGGAAGCTCCTCGTCACGAGGTGCTCCATGATGGGACGAGGTTGCTCCACCTGTACCACTTTTTGTCGCCCCTTTTGCGAAATCCAGAGGCCTCGTGAAACCGGGGGCAAGAATAAGACTCGTAATGTTAATCTGCCGCAGAAGCTGAGGAAGGGAAAAAACAAGAGTATTTCAGCGGCATATATATATATGAGTTGGTACCGATCATTCGCTCAAGAAGGTGAAACAGAAAAATAAGACAAGTTAAACTGCGAAGGGAAGAAATGATCGTTCGATTAAGGACGGGATTCTAGAAGATCCGATCAGATCGTATGCGAAGAATGGACGGAAGTATCTGCGGATGCGCCGCGCTCTCGGCTTTGGTCCAGCGCCGGGACAACGTCCGGGATTTAAACTCCGTTTCAGGTGAGTGGGCACTCCATTTCCCTATTATCAGGATCCATGGGTACGTTAGCTTCACCTCAGAGTGAATTTCGCCTCTTTCACCGATCCCTTAAGTGCAGCAGGACGTGCTCCGCCAGCAAATCCGCTCCCCATGGAGAGCCCCTCGCTTCTATATTTTCATTCCAGGAAATTATTTCGAGATCCCGTTTCCGGCGTCGCGGGCTTCGGCGAAAACGTTTCCCTGGATTTCCGGTGGCGATCGATCCATCGATCTTCCCGCCGATAATACCTCCCAGCGGGGTTTCGGCTGAATTGCCGAAATCTCGGCCCCCGAAATAGGAAGGCATAAATCTCGCTACGAGTCTAAAGGGGAAGAAACAGGCGAAAGGGAAGAAAAAATTCAAGTTTTCATCTCCCACTTCCCCCGGAAGATCGTTCTTAAGTGACGAGAGAACAACGTCCGACGTCGCGACGTCGGGATGCTGGTTTAACTCCGTTCGATATTTAAAATTGAATACCGTCACTCGACAACTTTCGCTTATCACTGATTAACGACGTACCGGGATTTTGGTATCTCCGAAACTGGAATTTTTGCCGGAATTTCGGGGATAACAAAATCCAATGTTTACTCGTCAATCAAAAATTAAATATTGGAGCCAGAATTTTTGACGTTATTGACTTTATCAAGGGAGGCATTTTCTGTAAAAAAAGAAATCTGAAAAACCCGTTTTGGGAAGATAACAAATTTAAGTATGTGGAACTGATGACGATACGAAAACCCCGGTAATTTTTATTACCCATTGGTTATCGGTAATTAGTTGCATGGGTATTTAAAACAGCCCTGTGCTGGTCCTCATCCCGGTTCTTCTCCCACCTCTGGACCATCTCCCCGCTCCGTTAACCTGGACCAGCTGCTCCTTCCTCTCATCTTTCACCGGAGATCTCTCTGGTAGTTCTCGCGCGAGCGTTTTCGCGCGTGTTCGCCTCGAGGTCCTTGAAGACGTAAAAATTCTCGAAATTCCAGCCGCAAATTCCAAATCTTAAGGCCCTCCCCAATCCCCCTTCGATAATTTTCCCCAACAACCGACCCTTAAAAAAAGGAAAAAAAAATAATAAAAATACGTAACAATTATTTGCCCGTAAAAATCGCTCGATGAATTCCTCAATGAAAGATCTTCGATTCTTGGGGCACGTTGTGAACGGTTCTTCAAGAATCGCGACGTCATTCGCATTCTGAGCGAGTGAAAAAAAGAACCCGCGTCCACTTTCACGCGCCATACCTCGTTCGGTATAACTTCGCCTTTAACTTCGGAATTTCCCTCGGAAGAGCGATTCGGCCCTGAAGAAGACCCTGAAGAAGGCTCTAAAATTCAAAGGAGCACCTTTGTTCGAAGGAATACGCACTTAGAGGGGAATTACGCGAGTTAAGTGATACCTGCGTAGATGGGTGACATTGCTGAGAGGTCCTGAAGAGAATATCGCGTGTCTCGTGTAACCCAACATCGCTCCGCGTGTCATGTACTTGTTCTATATACTTGTGAACGGGCCTTAAGACTGCCACCTCCAGTGGGGACCGTATCGCTTACATTTCCTTCGACTTGGGCCTCGTGACTTCTGCATTCGGTCGTGTGTTGTGGGCCTGAAAACCCCTGAAGAGCAGGTGCTCTTCAGTGTTCTCATTCGCCGCAGGTCCGGCCTCGGGTGAACGTCGAGGGTCTCCTGTGTTGCAACGATTAATCCATTTAAATTCACACGTTAAAAACGGCGTTGATATCAAGAAAAATCCACGGGAATTCTCAACTGGATAAATATCAAAATAAATAACAAATCACGTACGGTAAATTATTAATAAAAATCGAAGGCCTCCTGTGTTGCAACGATTAATCCATTTAAATTCACACGTTAAAAACGGCGTTGATATCAAGCAAAATTCACGAGAATTTTCAACTGGATAAATATCAAAGTAGATAATAAATCACGTGCGAGGAATTATTAATATAATATAAAACCGGAGGTAATAAGTGCCAAAGATATGACCATAAGTTAAAGTGGATTCAATGCATCGGAAAGTAACGAGTAGATGATAAATAAATGTTTGAAAAGGGTGAAGAGTGAGACGAATTTGATAAATTTCGATGAGTTGCGAAGGTTTTCGGGAACTCTCAATTTTTCCCGGGTTTTCGGAAAATTCTAAGCCAGCGTCAGGGTCGGGATCCCGTAAAAATGGTGTTTTTCGGGAGGAAGGACAAGGTGGAGGACCGTCATCTGTTGGCCAGCATGGACGCCATGAATGGCGCAAAAGTTCACCAGGTCGATAACGGTACGATAAACAAATTTCCCAGAGCTTTCGGTTTCTCCTGAGTTTATCTGAGATTCCCGATCCAAACAAATGGACCGCCTACGCGAAATATCTTGCATTCGAATTCCGGGCCTGTTTGCAGAACTCGATTGGAAAATGGCTTGGAAATAGTCGCGGCGAATTCCGACGTGACAGACTCCGAAAAGAAAAAAAAGGGGGAAAAGGAAAAAATAAGAAAAAAAAATTCAGACACGCGTCGGGCGGCCATTCTTCAAAAAGCTCTCACCCATAAAGTCGTTTTCTATTTTCGTTCTATTTCTGCCGGCGAGCACTTCTCACGGAATTCGCAAAGTGGGAGTCGACGACCGTTCTCCCCATCTTCGTGACATAATCACCCACAGCTGATAAGCCGAAGGAGGAACCCTCGGTCACCCTATCTGCATTACCACTTTACCTCGCTTCAGTTCTAACCTATCAAGGGAAACTATAAATTCATCGACATATAAATCGAAATCGGTCCTATTTGGAGCAATGCATAACCATAAATCCGGGCAACCCTCGGTCCGCGTTCTTAAGTCGCAGGGGGTTGCCATGGCAACCATAGGGACGCCAACTCGAGCGAATCGTTGCTAGGAGTGCGGATAAGGTAGAGACCTGACACGCAACCCCTGAAAATGGCAAGACCAATTTCTCTGAATGAATTAGCAACCCTAATTATCAGGTTCCATTTATAAAAGAAGCTCAAACGTTAACTTTCGACATATTTTTCGCAACGATACCCAACCACGCACTAATTAACAAACTTAATAATATACCAATACCCTGAAACAGCTGATCTATTTTTTTTATTCATTTAAGTATGGGAATGCCTGAAAGAAAAATTCGACCGTGAAGTTGTGAAGCAACCCAATTTTCTCTCGTCCTACAAATCTGAAACTAGGACTGCACTTACAATTAGTACTTTTACCCCAGATTCCTGCCACGCCTTCTAACTCAATTAATGCTCCTAAGCAAAGACCTTCGGCTACCGCGAATTAGGGACAGGTATTAAACGTCCGTCGAAGACGTAATATGTCCAGTTCTTCAGGGTCGAGGCGCGGAGCCGTAACGAGTGACTCCGTTATGGAGTATTAATATTCCTTGAGATATTCATTTAGGACCTTGCGGAAGATCTGAAATTATTGAAATTGACCCCATGGATCGACCTCGAAATGGCCAGGTCGGTTACCTCTTAGGGTAAGGAGCTTCCTAGACCTCGAAGAGGCTTCGAAGGAGCGCCGATCGCGGCGTGGATGCGCTCGTCCTTTGCCACCTGTAGCCGAGGAAATCGATTCGGCCACACCCGGGGGTGCATGCGGCGACCAGAGGGTGGCCTCCGTTGCGTCGCGTTCCCCGTGTCCCTCCTCTCCACCCTCGTTGTCCAGTTATGGAAGAGTGTCCCGTGACTGTTCCAGCTGCATTCGTGCACGTCCGCGAGAACCTGGAGGAACTCGGCAAGGTGGCCGACGACACGGACCTCCTCTTCCTGAAGGGCCTCCTCGACAGCCCTGTCGTCGCCTCCCTGGTCAAAGTGAGTACCACCTAGACACCTTCCCGACCTCGTGGCACCTACAAATATACCACGATGCAAATCAGGAATAAATCCAATGAAATCAGGAATTTCCATAAACGCCCCGAGGTACTTTAATATTTTTCCTTCGCAATGAATTTCTTTTTTTTTTTCTAATGATAATTCCATGCTTATATGAAATTTTCAATAGTGACCAACAATGCCAGGGAGTGTATTATTAATTAATATATGTTTCGTTAAGTCGCAAGAAGTGGATTTTGGGACCTTTTTGAATTTACACGCGAACTTGGAGAGGATCTTCTGAAATTTGGGGAACCTCGAGATAATATATTTGGCTGGTTGGTTTGAAAAGACGTTTGCAGTGTCTGTAAAAATTTTGATAAATTACACACGAAGCGGAGGGCGTTTCTCGTGGTACTCCGGTGCATCATTCCAGGACGTAAACCGTGCAGCAGGATGCACCGGCGCTTTGATGCGACGCCTTCGACGCGAATAGGCGGTGTTTGCTTACACAACGAGTTACTCTCGCTACTTAAATCCTACGATCGACGGGCCCGTTAAATCGGTCGTTTCGTCCTCCATAACGGCTCCTTCTTATTGAGATTTCCGCCAGATTTCTTGGGAGGTGCACGCGACGTCCGTCATCGGGATGCACGTCGACGAAGAAAAAGAAGACCTTGCACTCCCATCTGCGGATTTAACAACATTAACCAGGGTGGAGCTGATGAACAATGCAGGACAATTATTCTCAACGCACCTAAAACAAAGGTCCCTCGATGTCGAGAATGCACCAGGGGTATAAATAGGGAGCGGATTCGTTCAGAATATGAAATTCCGCCTAAGAAGACGACGTGACTCGCCTACATGGACACCCTGTATACGTGAACACGTGGAGTCCCCTCTCACCTGCCAAGCCCACATTCCACCTGGAACGGGCTCAGGTAAAACGCCAAATCGGGCGGAACTCATCCGTCTGCGAGATCGACTCAAGATATGCTTAAATTCGAAACTTGAAAAAAAAATAACCAAATTATCAATTTTAATATTTACCGTAAAAGAAAAGACGGCTCGAGACGAGGGTACCAAGTTACTCTTTCAGATGATTAATATTAATATTTATTATGAAATACAGGGCAAGACCACCCGGTCAGAGTGCAGGGCAAATTTGAGCGTTTTGAGACACGAGTGCCAAATCGCTCTTTCAGATGATTAATATTAATATTTATTATATAATATAGGGCAAGACCACCCAGTCAGAGTGCAGGTCAAATCTGTGCGTCTATCTACTAGGGCGCCAAGAGCCACTCCTTCTTCAAGACTCTGGAAGAGCTAATGGAGCAATTAGCGAGGAGTCTTATCAAAGTGGAAACGTCAGGCCGCAAGAACGCGCGAAAGCGAGAAAGAGATGGGAAATAGTGCGGTCGCATGCGTCGTTCGCGAGCCACGGATGATTGTGTCACGAGCGGTCATCCTGTCAATTTGCCGGGACCTTGCAATCCCGGTGTCAATTGGCAGGTCAGGACCGCCGAGTCTTGGCGCGAGCTGCGCCTCCGCGGTGGAGGAAGTGGTCGGACGAGGGCAAGAGAGAGACGGAGCGACGGCGCCCCAACTAGTGGGAGAGAGAGGCAACGAGCGCGTCAGGGACGGGCGAAGAAGAAGCGCGTTGGAACGGCGCCATGTGGAAAATATTTGGACGGCGTGAAATACCACAGGGCTCGAAAGAAAATATTAAAGATGCTCTCCGAACCTCCCTGCATCTCTCAATAATTTTACATACCCATTTTAAATGAAAGGAAAGAATGAAAAATAATTAAAAGTACTTATTATATGAGGAATCTGCAATTCGAGTTGCAGCGGGGGTATTACAGATAGAGATACGAAACGCTGTGATTTTAAGAGAAGCTTTCGCGGTATCATAAACAAATATAAATATATATCATTAAAGATAAAGAGACCGCGGCTCGGGTTTACATCTTGATGAAGGAGGCCGTAAATCTTGATGCTAGAGAACGTTGGTATCACTCCGACGAGCCCCTTCAACTTCTCGTTCTTATTTCCATTTTCTCGCGATTCCGCGAGCATGATGGATCGCCTCAACACTCGGCGTCCCGGATTCTTCCAGAGTGTTCCCACGTGGTTTCCCACGTGGCGCGTGCCGTCCACCGGGTATATTTGGAACGCGTCTGCGAAGTCAAGAGATGGGGGCTGGAAAAGGCAATTATTTGTAAAGAAAAGCATTGTTCGGCTTGTCGGCTCGAGCCGGTGCCTGCCAGCGCAATCAATTCTCACGGTAGGTCAGGGGAGTAGTTAAAATCCAGCCAAGTGGGTCGGTAGGTGCGTAATATCAGGAGTGGCTTGAAAAGGAGAAAAAGAACTCCACGAGAACCTGAAAACAATCATTAATCCCTATTGATTATGCTTTTTTTGGGGTTCTCGTTTTATCATCATCGAGACGCCTTGGTTCTTTTCGAACAACCCTTTAATGAAAAATATTCAGGATCGCGTTACCTTATCGGGTTGGAACGTCTTCAAACGAGTTAGCGCTTCTTATGGAACACCTGTTGACGCTAGAAATAATCAGAGGGGTAAAATTCTATTTTAAGTGAACCCAAAACTCACCGATGAACAATATCAATATTCACGGTTACGACTTCGTGAAAATTATCACGGTGGCAGGTGTTCTTCATCATTCCGTTGTGTCTTAACGTAGGCTTCCTTTTGGCGTCTGCCCTTAGCGGCGATTAAAAATAATATTTTAACGGAAGATTTAATGAAAATATTTTAACGCCGAGAAAGAAAGGTGTATTTATAGTATGAATTTTGTTAAAATTACGAATCAAATAGCCTTTATTATTTGTCTTATATCGATTCGATGTTTTTCTCATATATCAAGTCGAAGTTTCGTCTTCACCTGTTAGATCCATTACGGGGCCCCAATGAATCCCCATACGAGAGGCGCCGTGTCGGCCCTGCGCGATGTAGCGGAGCGTGTTGCATACCGGGAGAAGGCCGGCCCCGTGGGTCCCCCACCTGTTTCAGAAACCGCCGTCCCTGCGCAGGAGAAACAGTAGGCGCGGCAGTTTTCTCGACGCGGCGGTCCCGAAGCCCGGCTTGAGCTCCCGCGAGGGCTTCCCCGCTTCGTACAACTAATCGATACCTCGAGTCGGAACGTCGACCTCTCCGGATCACCGATTAGTCCGTTAGAACCTGGAGGAACTCCGTTCGCCAGGTGAACTCAGGTGAGACGAACAGCGGCGCGCCATCCGAACTCGTTCCCAGGGAATTCTAAAAAGTGAAACCTCGCGTAATACCATTAAAAAAAGAGGGAAAATAAGGGCCGGATAAAAGATGAAAAACTAGCGATAAAGAGGGAAATAACAGGTTCCGCCAAAATGCCGCTTAAGGGGGCGCGGCGGAACGGTTGGGAAATAGGGACCACGTGACGTCATCCAAAATGGCCGCCCAGAAGTGGCGGCGGACATTTTGGATCTTCCAGGTTTCACGGGAAGTGGATTAACGATTGATCCCCGGAAATCGAGGGGAAAAGGCTTGCCTATTGCGGCCATGGGAACCACTCGCGAAAATCTGGAAAAGGGAACGAGGAGAGACGGAAAATTAACGGCAGACCACGAGGTTAACGGTCGGCGTCTGGAAGTGAAAGTCGAAAGCCGCGCTCCGATGTTCATGGAGTGTATGTATTCAACGAGTGTATATGCCCGTGGAGAGTATATGTTGGTCCAACCAGGGAAAATAAATTTTATTGTTTACCGCGGACAGGGAAACCGGTCGTTATATGTTTCCCTGGATTCCATGGAGCTTATTACTCCGGGGCACGAGTCAATAATGCTCCTGTAACTGCGCTCGCGTGCACATGATCGTATAATTATTTCCAGAATGCAAATAACGGAGTCACGACATCCAGGAGGTCTGTTGTCTGGTTAAATATTGTACATTGATCTGATACAATTACTGGGACGAAAGGAAATCGTTGCACGACTGGTAGAAAGGGTGGAGCTAATTTAAAGGAGGACGAAGTAAACCTAGGGAAGACTTCTGGACAGACCTGAAAGTGCTATATCTCAGGGAGCTCGTCATTGTTATTTAAAGTGGGTCCATTTAAAGGTCGTCCATTATTCACCCATAAAGGTGGCCCAGTTTCCGCCCACGCGACGCAAAAAGCATTTCGTCAACAGTGGTCTCCCCAGCAATGCCAGGGCCCGATATCGCACTCCCTTTATGTTCAATTAGAACTCATTAATACGTCAATGTAGGAATTAAATTGACATCCTTATGATTTTTGTCCCCAGGTCCAGGAACGCCTGGAGGAACCCCCAGCCTCCGTCGAGCCGATTTGCCGTTCCGTCTGCGACATCGTCGACGTGGTCTGCCACGACCTGCGGAACACTCGTCAGGATCTTGCAAAGGAGCTGGTGAACTTGCTAAAGGGATCCCACTTTAAGGCGCTTTTGGAGTCCCACGACGCGGTAGCCGAGAGAAGGGAGAATCCTGAAAGAGCTGCTCCTAAATCTGTGGCGATGCCCTCGGACGAGAAGACGGAGGCCATCAGGGTCGTCAGTCTTCGAAGGCACCCTGAAGAGCCCCTGGTAATCCTGAGAAAAATTTTGGAATTTTTACAGGACGTATAAGATATTTAAGATCGACAGTACTTATCGATCGTTGCCTTTCTTCAGGGTCTGACCGTCCAAGTGGACGAAGCAGGCAATTTAATAATCGCCAGGATCCTCGGAGGAAGCACTGCGGCTCGACAAGGACTCGTCAGGGTCGGAGAAGTGATCCTGGAAGTGAACGGGAAGAGCGTCCGCGACCCTGAAGAGTTGCAAATCGCAATTCAAGATGCCAAAGAAAATTTATCCCTGAAGCTTGCACCTGGGATCTCGTCGGACGGGAACAGGCCTCTGAAGTCTACGGTAGATTTATTTTCTGTTTATAAATTAATGTTTAAATAATGGTACCTTGAAGTAGATGACAACGTAAATGTTTTTTAGTGCTACATGAGGGCGCTGTTTGACTACGACCCTGCGGAGGACACGTTGCTTCCTTGTAAAGAGATCGGACTGCCGTTCATGAAAGGTGACTACCTTCAAATCGTGGATCAGGCTGACCCAAACTGGTGGCAAGCCAGGAAGGTCGAAGGAGAAGGTCTGGGTCCTCCAGGATTGATTCCGTCCTTGGAGCTGGAGGAGAGAAGGAAAGCCTTCGTCCCTCCTGAAGCCGACTTCGTGCACAAGATCAGTATATGTGGCACGAGGATATCCAAGAAGAAGAAGCGGAAGATGTACCAGTCCAAGTCGAACGGAGAATTCGACGGTGCGGAACTTTTGCTTTATGAGGAGGTCGCAAGAATGCCGCCGTTTAGGCGTAAGACTCTGGCGTTGGTCGGTCCACGAGGAGTCGGCAGGAGGACCCTGAAGAACAGGTTGATCAACAGCGACCCGGAGAGATTTGGAACCATCGTGCCTTGTAAATATTTATAAACGCGAATCCTAGTGATAAGAAACATCCATCTTGGTCTTGCAGCTTGGATCTTGATAATTGAAACCGAATGTAAAACCACATTTGCAAGATCAAGACCAAGACCTGAACCCAAGATTGACTTTGCTCATCGCTAAATGTGAACGCCCGGAATTTCCGAAAATTCTCAGCAACCTTTAATCATTTCAACCTCGTTTTGTAGACACTTCGCGGCCTCCTAGAGTACTTGAAGAGGACGGCAAGAGCTACTGGTTCACCGATCGTGAATCGATGGAAGACGATATTCGAGAGCACCGTTACCTGGAGCACGGTGAACACGGTGGCCACTTGTACGGAACCAAACTGGACTCTGTCAGGGAGCTCATCTCTGCTGGGAAAATGTGCGTGCTGGACTGCAGCCCAGCAGCCTTGAAGATCCTCCACAACAGTACCGAATTCAAACCGTACGTGATCTTCATAGCCGCTCCCGGAATGGAGCAGCTGAAGAGTCTGTACGACCTCGGGAGATCCACAGGAGCGAGTAGCCGAAATCTTACGGTGAGACTTCACCAGTATTTTTTAAAAATCTACAACTCGAGGAGACAAGTAAAAAAAGAATCCTCTGGCTTGTTCGATCCTTTCATCGACCACCGTCTCATCAGAAACACGATAACATTTGAAATTGACCGTAAAAACTGAACCTCTGAGACATTTCGTTTTCAAAATTGTAATGTATGAGCGTACTGTGTCTAATTGTTCGTGATAGCGTAACTTCCCCCTTGTTTCTCTCTCTTTTTTTTTATCTTATTTTGCACGCTTGTATCATAAAGGCCCTCAGCTTGACCTCCTCCATGTGGTAAAATTTGACGTTTCTCGTAGAATTCATTGGCATCCAAAATTCCCCCCAGAGACCGTTTTACTTTTCAACCGGGGTAAGACCTCCCGTAGAGTAAATCTCGACTTGCTGATCAGTGTATGATTTGAAATCCTATACAACAGCGTATCGTATTAGCTCGATGTCCTGCATTTTTTAATTTGGACTCCCATTTTGATGTTGGCTTTGGCTAGTTTGACCGTCAGAGCTCCATCAGATTCAGCTCGAGAAGGGCCCGAACCCTGGAATCCCTGGCATCGTTATATGAGGTTCGTACGGCACGTTTTACTTTGTTAATCGTTAAACAATTAAGTTTTGTAATCGCTGGGAATGCCCTAGTTCGCCACTTGGTCGCCAGAATTTTTTGAACACTGATAACAGACAGAATTACTTAAAGTATGCCTTTCGTGACATAGGAGGACGACTTGAAGAACACCCTGGAGGAGTCTGCAGCTCTACAGAGGGCCTACGAAAAATACATCGACCTGGTGATCGTCAACGAGGACTTCGACCACACTTTCCGACAAGTCGTGGCGGCTTTGGACGCTCTAGCTACGGAACATCAATGGGTCCCTGTCAGTTGGATATACTAAAATGATACAGAAGACCTGAGAAATTAATAACAGGAGTGAAACGTGGTGAGACATAAAAAAATAATGATAAAGATGTGCAAGAAACAAGTCTTCTTCAGGGCAGACATCGTTGACGAAGAAGAGCTGATACTGTGACTAATGATCTAATTGCGATTAAGAGACGAGAGAATTTGATTACGTGTCGTTTTAGCTGCAAGTACAAGAATTAGATTTTAGTTGATTAGACGTATTAATTTCTGGCCAGCCGGTCGACATTGTTGAAACAATTCCATCATCGACTGGAGGATGTCACAAATCGACGGGCTGACCGAAAACATTAAACCGCCGTCCAACTACCTTTAAGATAGTTTGTATTTTCGTTGTATGTTCTACCGTTAAGCCCGTTTAAAAATTAATTCCCCGTTGTTCGGTTGATTTCCCGGAAAGCGATCGTCTAATTTCGCGCGCTCAATTTCGGATCTCCTCGATCGGCCCTAAAAAGATATTCCTGGCACTGAGTGCCTTAACAATGCGAGTGTTCCTTGAGAAGGGCGTTTCGTGAACCGAAGACCTACGCTAACGAAGTAGTTAAGGGAAGAATAGATTTGTTATTTACGTACACGTATTTTCTACGACCGCAGGACTGTACCGAGAGGAACGGGGAGAGTTTTGAGCCGAAAACAATTGCAACCACTGTGCATCTGCCCCAAAAAGAATCCCCCCTTCGCGATGCAGGGGACGAATAAAGATTTGTTAAACATTCCACTGTGTGCCAGTTCGCGCGACCTTTTCCAGAATTTATAAAAGGCTGCTCAAATAAGTTTCTTGACATTTTTACATTCAATATATCGAACGTCCATTGGTTATTGAATTTTCAATTTTGTTTCATTGATTAATGCCTGATAAAGTGTATATAAATGTCATCGTAATAAATTGAATTTCAGTCTTATGGATGGGCATATTCTCCGCTATTTCAAATTACCCTCTGCAACTGGAAAAGTGTCCATGCTAAGTGGTTCACACTGGTCTACAGTTTCGACGCGTGGACGCTAGATGGTAGCATTTCGCGGATGGAAACTAGCATTGCTAGTCTAGGATTTTAATATACAACCAAAAATCCCTAGCAATTTTGGGATTCGTGTTGATAGGGATAATTTACGGTTGGCAGTTCTGTGGAAAAATTAAATGACGTTGATCTGACAAGCCGAGTAACCGGAGCTTAATCAGTTTCTGATTGGCGCTCATTGGCGCAAGCCCCGTCAGCGTCGTGGCACCAGTCGTCGGTTCAAGTTTTCAAAAGGGGATCTCGCACTGATTTTATTGTCTAATCGGCGATGAACATTTTGAGAAAATTACGACGCTTTGATGCGTATCCAAAGACACTTGAGGATTACAGTGTGAAGACGTTCGGCGGCGCTATCGGTAAAAAACAGAGTCGATTTCATTCACTCCTTTGACAAGGCATGCTGTCAACATCGTTCATTTCTTTAACATTTTTCCTTAATTTTCCAAAATATATTCTCGTGTTTATTTGCATCTGCTTCAAAGATGTTTTAGTTTTCGATTGAAATTCATTTTCACGTTTCGACGTATTGAATTCGTCTGCTCTGCTCAACTGCATAAGCGAATTTCAAGGTTAACCTCAAAATTTTACCGTCGGTGGTTAAAAAAATGCTCGTACCCATAAGTTGCATTTCTACTGTACTTTTCCTTAATTCGTGTTAAATTTAGCAAGTAGATCGTCTTTGCGAAAGATTTTAAATAATATTTTATTGCTGTTCAAATGACAAAATTATCCACGTCTGATATGTGCATAAACCTTCTTCCTTATTTTTAATAAATTTCATTATGTTGTTTCAGTGACAATAATAAGTACAATTATCATGACTGCGCTCTTTATAGGCGAAGTAAGAGATTACCTAACTCCGAGCTTAAAAGAGGAACTCTTTGTGGATACTTCTAGAGGATCTAAATTACGAATAAATCTTGATATTATCGTGTCGTCCATCTCTTGTGACTGTAGGTGAACATCTTTATTGAGAATTTTTTACATTACATGTTAACGTCAGGTAACAAAATTATTTTTTCTTTCTAGTATTATCATTAGATGCTATGGACACTATGGGGGAACAGCATTTGCACATAGAACATAATATTTATAAAAGGCGACTGAACTTAAATGGAAATCCCATTGAAGATCCTAAAAAAACTGGTAAGTATAAATAATTTAATTTCAGGTTTAATATGTAAATGAAGACGGTTGATTCTTTAATCCTTTTTATCGCAGATATAAAAGACCATACAAATACAATGAAACCAACTCAGGTAGTTATTCTTTACTTTCAATATATAATAATAAGAGAACTGCTAAAAAAAATAATTAACTACTTTTATAGACTGTAGAAAATGCTACTGAAAAGACATGTGGTGACTGCTATGGAGCAGCAAACGAATCGCATGGAATTCTGTAAGTATTTTGTACTGATTATATTCAGAAAATGATCTTTAAAATATAAAGTCTTAGAGGATCAGGTAATAAATTTTACAGATGCTGTAACACATGCGAGGATGTAAAAGAGGCATATCGAATGAGGAAGTGGGCAACTCCAGATTTGTCGCTGTTTAAACAATGTCAACACGACAAATCAGTAGAGAAGATAAAGAATGCTTTCACGGAAGGCTGTCAAATCTATGGATATATGGAAGTCAATCGAATCGGTGGAAGCTTTCATATCGCACCAGGAGACAGTTTTTCAGTCAGTCATGTACACGGTTTGTCTGTCAATACTACCAAACCTAAATAACACCTTTAAAATTGATGGTGGATATAAAAAAAATTAATATTCTACATCGTATAGCATGTAGTACTTCATTTGCATATGACAAATATTTATTTATGAATTTTTAGCATAACAAACATAATACTTTCAGTACACGACGTTCAGCCATACTCGTCATACCAATTTAACATGACCCACAAGATTCGACATCTTAGTTTTGGCCTGAATATTCCAGGCAAGACAAATCCGATGGATGACACAACAGTCGTCGCTTCAGAAGGTATGTCTTGTTACTATAAGATTTTTTCTTTAAGAAATTAACAATACACCATTGGTACTACAACCAACCACTCGCCTAAGGAAAAGTTTTGGATAGGGAAAACAACTAGCACCGTATACCGGTACCAATTGCCATAAAGGTTCCAAAGGTTCCTCCACCTTGGAGCATTACTTTTCCCACACTGTTAACCAATTCTCTCCCTCTTATGCCGTACCTAGAAACAGAATCGCATTATATGAAAGATTAAAATTGCACCTTTAGACAGTTATTAGATTTACCTAAGAGCAGAGAAACCGCCAAACAGTGCACCTGAGGCCATGCCTACGCAGAAACCGATCATGAAGCCTAGTTTCATCCTTTCGAAACATGATGGGCCCTGCTGTTGGTAACCTCCACCAGGTACCACAGGCATTGTAACCTAGAAACATATCAAACTTAAGCATTTATCGGAACAAAAAGAAATTTGCATGATTTAACAATAATCTAATTGACTTTAACATATATATTAAATATCCGGAAACACATAACTTCACCTTAATTTACGCAGTTTCGAACGAAACTATAACCTCTGCGTTCGAGTAGACTATGAATTGCCTATTTACGCCAATCTCTATTTTTGCCGTCAATAAACATATTTGTAGTGCGGCGAAAAGTTAGGTTAGACTAAGAAGTTTAGTTAAATATTCAAGCTCACGAGGCCATTCAGACAACACGGAGCTTGAAGCAGAGTTGATCGTAATATTTCAGAACTCACTTTGTTTCCTTCCTCAGGTTTTAAAACCGACTTGTAGATTTATTTCTAAGCCTTTTGATAAAAGGCCGTTCGCTCTTCCAGCCTTTTTGTATCAGCAGGTCGCCATGTTAGTTATCTCTCTCCCCTCTCCCACCAAGAAATGAGGACAGACGACTTCGTAGTCATGAACGTAGTAATATAGAGAGGAGGCAAACGAAGGCTTATTCAAGCTATAAAATGATGTTACTTTTATTACAGGTTCTATTTAATATCTAAGCGTACATTAATTTTAAAGTGGAATTCTAGCCCTTTGTAATTAGCACTTTTTGAGGGGCAAATAAGAATAAGTGACTTTGTGAATCAACTAATTTTTATCATTGTATAATTTCTGTCAATGATTTTACAGAAATATTTTATTTCACAGGTGCAATGATGTTCCAGTATTACATAAAGATTGTTCCGACAACCTATGTACGTTCAGATGGGTCTACATTGTTAACGAATCAGTTCTCTGTGACAAGACACTACAGGCCTGTTTCGTTGTTCTCAGCAGAGCCTGGAATGGCAGGATTGTTCTTCAGTTACGAACTAAGTCCACTGATGGTCAAATATACAGAGACCAAAAAGTCCTTCGAGCATTTTGCCACAAATGTCTGTGCAATTATAGGCGGAGTATTCACAGTCGCTGGACTTTTCGATACTTTCCTCTACCACTCTAGTCGAGTGATACAGAAGAAAGAGGAGTTAGGGAAATTTAGTTAGGACCTTGTTTCTTCTAGCAGCGCGTATTAACAGGTAGATCTACCTAAAATCCATTGGCTACAAAGGTGTCTTCGAGTGCTTGCAAAACTTTGTAACTTATGCAGAGTGAATACGAACAATGTGAGTGCGATTACAAAGTGAATCTAATGAATTAATCATTGAGCCAGTGATAAGTTTTAATGAACTCTTTAGAGTTCCTCTATGCTTTGGAAGAAGTACATTTTCCAGCAAAGTTTTTGGTTCCCAAGAACTTGTAAGATATTCATGCCTTGCATACCGAAGACTGTGGAAATCTATAAGAATTAAACATTTTTATCACCTAAGAGAACACGGTATTGACGTTTCATTTTGTAAGATACACTTTAATTTGACTGGAGATCTGAATATAATTTTATTAGAATTTATCTCAATTAAATGAATATGTGTATTACGCAGGCGAATGGACATTACAAGTACGTGCAAATGTAAATTAAATAAGGAAACCATGGTTGTTGTAATAAAAAAAAAAAGAAGTTGGATCTTAAACATTCAAGATTTATTTACAAATTGTAGCTCTTTTAATGCAGTATTCGAAGGTCAAAAGAAATTGCCTTTCTAGGATTACAATGTTCTTAGAAAGTCATTGTAAGTCTGGATCGATTCACGTGCAACGTTTTGACAAAATTCAAGGTCTGTCCCAATAACCAGGGTTTTTGGAGCAACGTACATTGGCTTTGAAGGATCGTACTGGTTACGACCAAGCAGGGCTAAAAATTTGTGCCTCTGAATTACACGTTCCTTCCTAAACGTTAAAATATCTGGTTGCTTTGCAAGCAGTTCATGAGGTATTTTCATTACATTGTGCACGTAGTCAAAGCAGTCGACGATATTTGTTCTTCCTGAAAATGATTACCCATATTTACACAATTACACATGCTTTTACCTGTTACGAAGGAGTTTGTTTATTGCCACAGCCTATTTATAAAGAAACAGGCCAGTAGAAATATTAACTTACGCATTGTCCATAATTTTGGCTTGTTCATTAGAACCATCTTGGTCTGCCATAATTCGAAACCCATCTCTTCCCTAACCGCAAATGTATTTTCTTTAATGTGGTTCATATTGTAAGTGATTAGTCGTGGTCGCTTTACTGTGAGTTTTCTAACTTCTTGTCCACTGAGCTTAAATTCCATTTGAAAGTAACCCAATCGCCTATCTATCCGTGTTGTCGATAACAGAAGCCAATAGGGATTTGCAGTAACTATTCGCGATATCATTGGTACATCGAATCCATGAGCCCTTAAATATCTGATTCTTGTCTTAAGGTCATCCAGATCTTGTTTAAAGATCATAGGATTCATTGTAATAAATTTACCAAGAGAATCTGCAGGTACTCCACAGTCGTGCAGGAACTGTATGTAAGGTTTCATATCCTGTTCAATGTCTAATTGCAATAGAAGTTGAATTCGGTCTGGAAAGTGTTCTAATTTGTACACGTTTACTCCTAAGTCAACAAGCTTCTGTATGGATGGAGAGCGATCGGCATAAGCTGCTGAATTATACGACTTTGGGAAATATGGACCAATGTAAGACATGTCCTCGGTGGCCGTCTCCAGGGCATGTGGAAATTTGTCCGTCAGATTCAAGAGACCATCCTCAGGCTCATCTTCATTGAAATCTGTTAAACTATCTTTTGCGGTGAATGGATCTGTATTCGGCAAAAATTTGTGACTACATTTGGCGATCTCCAGTTCTGTCGAAGAGACTTTTACACGTTTTGCTTTGGACCCTTTCCTCATTAGCATATCGATTTTATTATTTTCCTCATATTTAACAATGTTCGCAAGACTAATATCCAACATTTCATCCTCTTTTGATTGTTCATTCATTGGCTTAATACTTTGACTGACGCTTGTTCTGTAATTCACAATCCCCAAACGCCGGCGTGACATAACCTCTTTGCTACGGCTCCATTGCGACCATCCTTGCTGTGCCACGCGCAAAACTTTTTGGTAACGTGATAAATCCATTATTGAAATGGTCTATTTCTTTCCGTACATGTCACATTTTCTAAAATATCTCAGAATTATTTAACAATACTTCTGTTTGGGAATAACAACCTGATATGAGTTGGGAGATTGCTCACGGTCGGGGTGGCGCGATCGCATCCTGTGCTACCCCCTGCTGACTGGTGCGGGCGGCTAACGTACTTGCAACCTGCTACCAGAGACAGACAGAGATGAGTTGGGAGATTGCTTACGGGCAGGATCGTGCGATCGCATTCTGTGCTGCCCTCTGGTTTCGTACGTTAGCTTTCACCGTTTTTTGCCCCCAAGGGCGGCGCAACGAATTTCTGATAGGAGCTCGCGCACTCGCGATGACGGTACCATCTACCATTCGCCGTTGGCGGCTCGTGCACTCATGATGCTCCTGCGGAAGTCAACGTAGGAAGACACAGGAAGACGAGAGTCCAATTTGAAGAGAACAACCTTCCCCGTCGAGTACTGTGGTGGTAGAAAGACGTAAGAAGTCGCGCGAATAAAATCTCCATCGAATGGCAGAAACGAAGGGTTGTTGAGATAACGGCGCCAAGGAAACAGTTTTCACGACGTTTATTACTATTTTACAAAGAAAATAAATTACGTAACGGTACGTCCTCGGCACTCCGCGGATCAGACCGCAAGAGAAATCACGAGAACGAGCGCAACGAAGCCATCGGGGTCGCCCCAAAAGGTAAAACGTGTCCAGCTTAAGAACGAGGACGAAGAAGAGAGTGTCAAGGGCGCTAGTCGCACCTTTTCGTAATCCTCGCCGATGACTGCGATACGCTCCGGAAATTACAGAATTTGGTAGGTCTTTCGCCGCTCTTTCCTTCCGGCTTAGTTTCAAAGTAGATTTGTACAAAAGGACCGAGTAGAAGAATAGGTTTCTCGAGGCCGCCTCGCACCAGAACACTTTCCAACATTCTCGGTTCGTTTGGTCAACTCTTCGGTTAAAATAAATCAGGCCTGAGTCCCTCCGACCTATCTTAAACCTTAGATCGAAAAGATTACGTTTACATGTAGCACTTTTTTTTTTTTAATAATAGTAAGAAACAAACCAAATTTTATAACATAGCTCCGAGTCGGTAGCAGTTGCGACCCGAGCGCTTATCAGGATTAAATGCGACGTTTGTTTTTGCGCTCTCTCGTGCACGATGATGTATCGACGTGTAATCGATCGGTTAATGGTCGGTTGAGTAATCGGTAATTAATCGAAACGAGAACCGGTGCGATCGGCCTCTCGCCATTGCGTCGAGAGGTCAACGAGGAAAGAGGGAAGCAGCTCCTCTCTTAACCAGTTAATGGCGCTTAAACGATTACTTGATTACCTGGCAAGATTATGCTCGTAGATAGCGAATATAATATACGACGTTTGTCCCGAGATTACGTATATGTACAATGTCGGCTTATATTACAGGAGGACGAGCCGAGTTTCGACTCGACGTTTCTATCTCGAGGAACGCCTCTCCGAATTTTGGACAAAAACACATCTCCGACTCGAAGTACATCTCCAGGAAATGATACGAAACGTGAATTTACTCGAGAAGACCTCTAGTGGGAATTACAACCGCCTTAGGAGAGGGAAAGAAATTCTTTTTCCCGCAAATAAAAAGACAAATCTCAACTTAAATTTACACGGCCTCGCTATTTCTCCCGCTTGAAGAATTCCAAATCTTTGGAGTTCCCTCTCGTTATTCTTGCGGCGATATTCGAAATGGAAAGTCGAACATTAGGTGAGATTTTTAAGACGTTTCTTCCAATCGTCCGGGGTGGCGTATCCTTTTGCTCGCGCCTCGGGGTAGTACACATTCAACTTTGAGAATTGATTAGAGTTCATGTTCGAGGACCTGCTTATCTAGTATCGATCGGTAAAAAATATTCAGCCCTCGGCGCGAGTGACGCCGGATGGCCTTGTCGAGGCATAACCGCCGGGCGTCCGTAAATAGAAATCTAGACTCTCGTGGCGGAATCGGCGCTGGAAGAAGCCATTTCGCAAGCGCCGGGTGGGTTTCCATTCCGCCGAGCCCGAAATGACAAATATCCTGACGCTAGCTTATAGAGAAAAAAAAAGAGACATCCGATCCCAGGTACAACCGAGGCTAACATTCCGGACGAGCAAAACCGTTTCTTGGCCATAACCTCGAACTTCTCCAGGTCCCGCATATATTTGCAAGGTTAAAACAAAGACTGGACATTCCAAGAACCAAGACAAAGACGAAGACCAAGTTCAAATTTGCTCGTCGGTAATTTCCCTTGCTCTTCCTCCGACACGATGCCTGCACCTCACGCTAAGAGCACGCTTGCAGGACTTCCCCCCTAAGGGAAAGGAATTCCCCTAGACGATGGGGAATATATACAAGACGCACGCGGCTGTAGAAATACCCCAGACCGGTAGAAGCGGAGAAATGGTAATTTCTTGCGGATATTCGAAGTCTTCAGAGTCCCTGCGAGTCCTCGCATCCCAGAAGAGGGGAGGAAGAGTCCACTCGGCCAATGGGCTGTCGCCGACCGATATCGTTCCACCAATCAGAACCCGTTCCTCGGACGGCCATCTTGCGAATCCTACGCGAGCGGCGGGTCGTCGTCGTCGTCCTCTCTCGTGACTAGGACGTTGCCGTAACGATTCTGTCGGTACTGCTGGAATCGTTGCAGCCATTTGTACCGCCTTGCGCCGACGTACACCAAGCAGGCGATAACTATGAGGAAAACTGGCACTAGGAGATGAGCCGCTACGGAGCTGCCTGCAGAAAAAAGAGCAAGAGTACGCCGTTAGCCATCGACCTCTTCACAGCGGTTGTTAGGAAGAATCACGCGACGAGATAACGAGGGGTTCGATATTCTCTCAGGTCTTCGTCAAAAGACTCAGGAAATAAATCGATTTGGTCTTACGGTCTGGATCTTACCACCGGAACTTGGCTTCGTTTCCGGCTTCGAGGTAGTGGGATCGACGATGATCGGTATCGTCGACGCGACGAACGTGCAGGCGCCCTTGATAAACTCATAACCTCGCTTGCACTCGCATCGGGCGGTGCTCGAGCCGTTCCTCAGGACGCAGCTCTCGTTGGGGCCGCACGAGTCGGTTAAATTCTTCATGTCGCAGGGCCTGAGCTGCTCGCCGATGACTCCTGCAAAAGAGAACGGAAGCGTCACTCAAAGCGCGCCCACGGGAGGCAAGGCGTCAGGCGCGGTCCACCTCGGCACTTCGAGGCTCCATATCTCGTCTCCGGGGCGACTTTTCGCTCATCTTCCGGGGGATTTGCAAATCCTCAAAGGGAACTATCGCTTTGAGCACGGAATCCGCGTAGAAGCTCCGCTGGCACGGACGCTACGGCCTTGGAGAAGCGCGAGGTGGAGCGTCTGCTTCGAACAAAGGGTCGCCATGTTTGCCTGGCGATAATGGTGGTCGAGTGACGGGGCGGGGCGATAAAGCTGTGCTAGCTTTACTCTACATGGGTCACAAAGTCGATTAAATTCCAAGTTATCTGCCGCTGCGCGTAAAACGCAGCTGTCGATGACGCGATCGCGGATGACGAAGCGGCGACTCTGGCGAGGGGAATAAAGCTTGAACGAAATCGCTTTTCCGCCGAAAGCAACGTTCAGTTTTCGTCCTGGGAATGTCGCTTTCGCTGGAAACGATCCGTTGAATCCAGAAACAGGCGGCGATTGAGTAAAAAGCGACAAGGCGTCGCGTAATCGGGCTGGGCATCCTGCAGGCGCATCTGCGTGTCGGCGATAAAGAGTCTCGAGCTGGGCGTCGGGACGCCCTCGACTCCGCGAGATCCTGACCTACGAGATGCCGTGACATTCATTTGCGCCGGAAATTTCACATCAGCTCATCTCTACGTGATATAAAATAGCCCCTCGTAGGCGTCCGTTTGCACGACGGTTGGAACTAATCTCGAGAACCGCTGGGCGGATTTTTATGCGGTTTTCATTATTTTATAGCGCTCCTCTGTAATAATGTTTAAGTATACATTAATGCATGATAAGGTAGAGATTGAACAGTGACAATTTTAGTAAATGGTCAACGAAAAAAAAATGGAAAAAACGCATAAAATCGCTCTTTTGGCTGCGGGGCAAAACCAATAAAAAATGAGAAAAGTGCCCTGAAATCTAAAAAGACACGATCTGCGTCTCACGGCTCGTATAATTCGCATATAATTTTCATTATTTTATAGCGCACCTCTCTAAGAATGTTTAAGTGCACATTAATGTATGATAAGGTAAAGACTGAACAGTGACAATTTTAGTGAACCAAGTCAACGAAAAAAAATGGAAAAGACGAATAAAATCGCTCTTTTGGCTGCGGAGCAAGAGCAGTATAAAATGAGAAAGTACCCTGTAAATCTAAAGAGTCACGATCTACGTCTCACGGCTCGTATAATTCGCATACAATTTTCATTGTTTTATAGCGCACCTCTTTAAAAATGTTTAAATGTACATTAATGCATGATAAGGTAGACACTGAACAGTGACAATTTTAGTGGATCAAGTTAACGAAAAAAAAAAATGGAAAAGACGAATAAAATCGCTCTTTTGACTGCGGAGCAAGACTAATAAAAAATGAGAAAAGTGCCCTGTAAATCTAAAGAGTCACGATCTACGTATCACGGCTCGTATAATTCGCTAAATAATTCCACATACATTAATGGTTTTTACGCACATTCGTGATGTCATATCCGTGGTGGGTTTATTCCATAGTAGAGGCGACTTTTTCGACGAAACACGGAGTACATCCGTAGGTCTGGGCAGAGATCAACCGAGGCTGCCACCAGCATTGGCTCAATCGGTTAATAGGAACAAATTCGTCTTGGTAAAAGGCGAGAGAAAGAGAGAAAGCCCGGCAGAGAGGAGGATCGAGCGAGAGGGCGGGTCAGCAAATCAAAGGGAGGCACTTTTCATTCAAGTGGTGTCGCATTAATCTAATAGAAGATCCGTCTATACACGGTTGACCCTTGACCGCGGCTGGATAGCGGCCTATCTGTTAGGCCGTATTATCGATGCTTCCAGGAAGTGGCAGGCTTAAAATCGAACTACCGAGATCTTTCCTCTAAACCGGCCTTGGCATAGTCATTCCGAATTCTCTCGTCTCTGGGCGGAGAAAAATTAAATCTGCGCACCGTAGAAAATGGCCCAAATGCGTCTGACTCGCCTCTGCTGATTTTCCTTCTTTCCATTTTTTTTTTACACGAAGAACAAAATTCTAGAACTCCAGGCCATGACAATTGCAATTTCAAATCGTGTCTCATTTGCTTGAATCGACTGGCGTTTCAGATTAATTTTAGAGAATAATATTATAGAGTAATTTTAGAGAATATATATATTACAGGGTTTGATATCGAGCATTATTGGCTATTCAATTTTGTGACGGCGATGGAGGATTTTGTCCATGTAATATGACTTTTCTATACGCGCTAAGAAAAAGCGGGAAAATTATAGGACCTCCATCGCGGTGCGCAGTAATATTTGTTTCACATTTGTTCAAGAACAATCTCCAGTCCCCGTTGGAATATTCCCACCCGCGGCGAGTTTCGCTTATGCATTGTCAACCGCCGGTAATTATGTTAAATAAAGTCGCTATCGCGTCGACATGACTCACTGCATCCCTCGGAGTAACTAATAAGCGGAATCAGGAAGCAATGAACATGAACACGAACATTGAACAAGGGAGCGGTCGAGCCCGAGTCCCTCGCCTCCTCCTCCTCTACATCATATCGCATCTTTGCATTCCCCCAAGTTTCTATTTTCCTCCTTCCCGTCCCTGCACCGACTCTGAATACTTTCCCGAAGGCTCCCTGTGCACATATCGGCAGGAATTATTTTTAGCACCAGGAAGCGGCGAGTCTCCAAGCAGGCATTAAACAAAGAGAAACAAAGAAGAGCAAAGAGTACTCTCAACGAACGGGGGCGATTTCGAGGACAAGGCGGCGCTTAGGAATTATCTGTGCAAGCGGGCATTGAAAGCGAACGGAAAAAGCGAACCTTTGAACCGCTAGGCGTAAGAGGAATGGGGGAAAAAAAAGGAAAAAAAAGAAAGAAAGAAAAGAAAAAGGAGAGAGACTCATCGATCGGCGCTCTACAGCGAAACCTCATTTTTCCGTTGCATAATGAAACACGGTTTTACGCCTCGACTCGGCGAAGTCATTCAGGTGGCCCCGCAAAGAAGGAAACTGCCGCTCGTTTCGCAGGTTCGCTAAAAGCCGAATGGAAAAAACAGCTGGTTCGCGGCAACTGCGACGTTCCTCCGCAAATCGGGGAGGGGAAATACTTCGCAGCTGGGCGAAATATCCCCGCGAGCGAGCTCGGCATTGTTTAGGAGCAATAAACGGAGCTATCTCGTCCCCGCGAACGCGTTATCTCCTTATCGCGTCGATGAGCTTTCTGGGAAATCGTGGGCATCGCGTCTGTTCCGCCAACTGTCCAGATGTCCTCCACCGTAGTTTCTTCAGGGTGCGGTATTTCGTCTTATCCCTGACGTACATGTTGGCTCTTGGCGTGAAACTCTAGTTCCCAGAATGTCCCGATGTTGCTCTTCAGGGTGTTTAGAGTGGGCCAAGCCGTGAATTTCAGGTTACTCTTAATGCGCGTTGCGATACTTGGCGTGAAACTCTACCGAGTTTCTTAACCCTCCAGATGTTCATCTTCAGGGTGACTGGAGTTTCCGATGGCACAGATTTCTCCTTATCTTGACTCTTCCCACGATGTGCAAAATTCATGCGCCTCGGCTTCGAATAGATCTTCTTGGTCCTCTTCTGCGCCCTCCACTCTGCGAATCGTCACTCTCGACAGCTTCGGCTGCCAAAAAAGCACACGTGGAAGCTCCAAGTAACCGAGAAAGCATTTCATCCTTAACACGTTGAGCGCGGCGTCAGTCCCTGGGGACTGACAGTGAACTTTCCGTTTAGGTGGCGTAAGTCCCTGGGGACTGACACGGCATCAAGAATCCTATATATAAAAAATTGTGCCGCCTAAACGGAAAGCTCAGCAAAATCGGATCCGCGCTCAACGCGTTAAGGACCTCTGCTTCCGAGAGAAAATGGAACTCACGGGAAAACCGAGGCTCCTTTATGCTCGCCTCACTGGCTGACCGATCGACCGTGATCTCCCTTTCAAAGGACAGTCGATTGACTTTTAGGTCCGCCGCTTCCGCGACGCGAACTTTCCCGACGATTCCGGGAAAGCGAAAGTCCTCACCCTCGGGAGCTTATCTCCCTTGATAGATCGTTCCATTACCTATTATTTCCCAGGATGACATAGACAGTCCCTCTCCAGACTCCCGCGCCACGTTTCGAAGCCTCTACTTCCGGTACACCTGACCTCACCAAGCGCAAGGGACGAAAGCAAAATCCGAAATGAAAGCGTGTGTAATCGAAGCCCTACTTAAAGAGACCTAGAAACAAGTATCGACTTTTAAAATCTTTCAAAAAGGAGGCGTAATTACGGAAATGGGCGGTAGAGAAGGCGCTTATTAACGTCGGCAGTGACGCATGGGATTTATATACCTTGCAGTTAATCAGAGAAAGGCGAGAAGGTTGTCCCTGGGGAAGTCCGACCTACGCGTCCGTTCCTGTTCTCGCCTGAGAAGGACAGACCCATTGGGAGGCGCCGCGAGTGCGAGAGAGAGGTCGAGCCCCCCGAGCGGAAGCGGCTGATTTAGTCGAGGGTGACCCCGCTCGGCGCGGTCGCGCGACCACGCTCGGGTCGGCTCGACCAATGGGAGGCGTCGGTTAGCGGCCGGCACAGCGGAAGAAAGGTCGGCTCACCTGTCACCAGGAGCGCGGCCAGGAGGAGGGTGGTCGCGGCCAAATCCCGCGCGGTGGGCATCTTTGGTGTCCCGAGGGAAACGGTCCGTTCCAACTCCCCGGTCCTTGGACTCTCACATGACGAGCGCGGCTCGAGCCGCGCCTGCTAGGTTAGGTTCGGTTCGGTGCTCCTCGGTCTCGGTGCACGCGCGCCGCTGCGCGCCCGCAACGCGCTTCGCTCGACGGTGACCGCAACGAACCGCCGACTCTCGACACTTGTCGCCGGCCGATCAGAAGACGAGCTTTTGCCGGCTCATCGTCACACCGCCGGCCCCTCGCCCCACTTTTGACAGATAAACGCTCGCCGGAGACCGAGCACGGGCTCAATCATCTGTTATTAAGCGACCATTTGCAATTATCGAACCCAATCCACTTCGAGATATATCGCGTTTCGAGAGCGCCCGCCGGTGGTGCCATCTAGCGACGCCACCATGAACCCGGTAGCGCTCCGATGTACTGCGGCCTTGATCCAATCAGGGAGATCCAATTTACAAGTTGATAATTCTGGAAAAAAAACGGACAAACAGTATCGCGTCGAGTATCAACATGTAAATAAAGATCGTGACTCGGTTCTGCTACCCTCGATTTTGGATCCAGGAATTCTGAAGTTCCATGCTGGATTAATATAAGGTAGAGGGAGAGTGAACGTGCTTTTAATCAAACTCGACTTGGTAGGATTTCTTTGCCATTTGCGGAGAGGTTATTCTTTTGTTAAGTAAATTGACTACGTTTAGAAATGACTGTTTCAAAGCAAGCGCGCCAAGTGAAATGTAGATTACTGGTTTTAGAAGATGCGTCTAGCTGGGACTGGACGCTATGATTTCTGGAACGGCCGCTAGGCGGTTCCGCCGTCTGGCGCGAAATTCAAACGGCGCGCGGGAATTTGAATTCCCAGTGCGCATTTTATTCACTGGGATGACTGCAGCCGATATCGGGCGATACTGATCTGTTACGATCTCAAGATGACATGAATAGACAACTTATTAATGGACCGGGTGCAAAGTAGCAAAGTTCAAAGAACCGTTAGATCGAAATCAAGCATTGATCGTTGCACGTCGCCTATCGGGTGACGCAATGGGCCGATTAGAAGCGGCTCGTACCTATTATCGACGAAAACGGTCACTTCAAAGTTTCGTATAAAAGGTGGAGCTATCTGCACTGCCCGTCCGAAAAGCGAGAAATCTTGGACGCGATGATGCTGCTCGAGCTGATATTGGTGGGCCTGGTGTTATGCCATGGTAAGGCTTTTTCCTACGAAATACATCACACCCTGGACTAAAAAACGCTTCCAAATTAGAACCCTAATTACACTTGATTCCATATCACACTTACACCTTATGAATGACAATATCCATCTTCTTTCTCTGTATCTTTTCTTGGCGCCAAGAGACGAATGATTCCATCTACATCCCAAGATTTCAGCTCCTGACCCAGTAAACCACATGTCGGTAGTTTCACGTCAAATACACGTATCACCGCATTCATAACACATATAAATGCGAAGTTTATGTTATATAAATTCACAATATTTTACAATTGCCATGTATTATCAAGATTTTATAAACTTACAGGCATTACCGCTCGTGCGGTGGACGAGGAGCCCTCGAAGATTGGTCTGCACAGGATCTTCGAGACCACCAGGATTACCAATGGCCAAGATGCCCAGCCAGGTCAGTTCCCGTACCAGGTCGCCTTAAAATGGGGTTTTCCGCCACTGCTCAAGCTACGTTTCATCTGCGGAGGCTCCATCATCAGTGAACAATGGGTCTTAACGGCTGGCCATTGCGTTTCCGGTCTACTTAAATATGGTACTCTCAAGGTTTATGCCGGGAAACATGTCGTGGACAGGTCTGAAACCACTGAACAGGTGGTCACTGTTCTTCGCAGGATCGTTCATCCGCAGTATGATGGGTAGGTCTGGGTTGAAACGTGTTATTAATTATTACAATATTTCAGTTGCGTTACAAAATGACAACATCTTCGTCGCGTTATGAAATTACAATATTTCCATAATATCATTAGAATATTCCTTAAGAGGTTGATGAGTTGTGCCAGTCTTGCCAGTGTTCCATTTGTTCTAAAATGAAATTCTTTTGATCAATCTAGGGGAGTAGCACCGCACGATATCGCGCTGTTGAAGCTGAAGACACCCTTGGTCTTTAACGACAGAGTCAGTCCGATCCAATTGCCGAAGCAGGATCTGGAGCATGAAGGACACACCGTATTGACAGGATGGGGCTCTGTATCAACTACACTCATCCCCCAGCCTGCGACTACTCTTCAGAGCGTGGAAGTTCCCCTGGTGGACCGACAGACCTGTGCTCGGTACATCCAGAAAATGACAGGTGAAGAGGCACCAGTCTACCAAACCCACGTGTGCACCGGACCACTCGGAGACGCAATTTCAGCTTGTTCCGTAAGTAATGTGGAATACCTACATTAAATAATCCAAGATTTGTCAACCTTGTTTAGCTGCGGCGAGAGCACTACAACCTTTCTGGTCAGCATTGGACATTTACCTAACACGTTCCCCAAGTCGTGATAACAAGATATGAAGGCGGTACTCCCCGGTTAGGGTTTATTCTAATAGAAAAAGTTTGTAACTCGGTTATCAGCGAGACCGCTCCAGGGGATCCGGAATCTCGGTTGTAAAACGCGTATTAGAGATACGCCCTGACCGAACGCGACTGCCGATGAGTACCCTTATCTAGATCGAGATATCCTTGCAGTTTCCAGGATTTGACTAAAAAGAAAGAGGCGTGTTAAAAATTTTTATTAAAGAAATATTTATCAATATGTGTAGTTCCGGAGCTTGGACGTAAGACCCTGAAGTGATGTACTTAACGATGTATCGATTTGTCCAGAGTTCGTATACCGATTGTATTTAATTTTTAGGGGGATTCTGGCGGTCCTTTGGTCCAGTACAAGGACGAAAAACCGGAACAAGTTGGCGTGGTGTCCTGGGGGATTTATCCCTGTGGGAAGCACGGTGCCCCAACGGTGTACACCCGCGTCTCCAGCTACACCACCTGGATCAGTCTCAGCATCGGTCTTTGAAAATCTCTCCATCAGGATTCCGGCTTACCTTGCTCTTCGTCATCTCACAGGATTCGATCATAATTATTTCCTAAGTTGAAAACCGCAGGAATAAATCAAATCCGGTCTGGTCAACGTGGAGATCCCTGACTTGTGACCTGGTTCCTTGTTGGATGTCGTTTTAAGAATGACCGCCAACTCGTTAGATCGTCTTCCTAAGTAGACTAGAATTCGAAGATGTTATCGCGACTCTTAGCGGCATCGCTAGGACGTTGTTCAGGTCACATGCGAAGAAAGTCTACAATTTTGAAATTCCTCCAGCCAGATGCGTATCGAGCTGCCTATCGGCAGACTTCTTTCACTGTTTTCTATCAGGCGAGGATCGAGAGTGATAACGCCAATGACACTCGAGAACTGCGACGCGAGCCGGCGGATTTTCGAAATTAATCGATGCGGCATCGATAAGGCATTGGGAGTCGATTGGAAGTCTCCTTCTGCCTCTTCCACGGGAGAAAGGCGAAGATCCACGGAAGCGATTTGCTCTTATCGGACGCTTGTTCACCTCTGTCGACTTCTTTCTCTCCCCTTGATTTCTTGTCACCACGTCACGATAAAGAAGCTGCAGGGTGCTTTATAAGCCAAACTCGCCACCGAATTCGTCAGACCCAAAATGACGCCGACATTGTTCCTACTCGTACTTCTGGCTGCCTTGGCTCGCTCCGGTGAGTGCAAAAGATCTCTTCAGCAACAAATTTCCCTAAAAACAACCGCATTCGTGTACTAAGTTAATTCTTCCATAAATAAACATTCTACATAATGTACAAGTAACGCTATCAATATTGCCCTGCGCTTTAACTCATAGTAAATCATTGTCACCTAGTTGCTATCCCTTTCGAGGACTATCTCGCGTACTTCTTGTCAATCGCCATGATAAGCAATCCCTGAAGTGTCTTCACCTTCCTTTATAAGTGAATCGCGTCCGATAGATCCCTCAGATCGAAAATGACAACCAGATTATTTGTACTCGCAACTCTTGTCACCCTTGCTCGGTCCGGTGAGTTTTCACTCCATTTTCATTATGATATTAAATATTATTAGATAAGCAATTAGCTTTCTAATTTTAAAGCTGGAGTTAATGGAATTCTTTCTTACTTTAGACCGTCCTTATGGCGGATTCGAGATGCCAATTTTTGGAGGGACCAAGATAGTCGGAGGTGTTGAGGCGGGTCAGGGACAATTTCCCCATCAGGTGTCCTTGCAATGGGGTATTGCGGATTCCCTGTCGAAGCACTTCTGTGGAGGATCCATCATCGACTCCCAGTGGGTCCTTACTGCAGGACACTGCATTAAGGCAGTTCCATCCTATGGCTCGTTCCTGGTCAAAGCTGGGAAACACGTCATCACGCGAAAGGAAGGCACGGAGCAATCAGTCCGAGTGGCCAAATCCTTCGTCCACGAATCTTACGCAGGGTGAGGCTGCATTTTATCCCTACGATAAGGAGTCAAGAAACGTGTGATTAATATTGAACAAAAATTTGCGGCACTTAAATGATGAGTTTACACCCCAAGGGCTGCCTGGTACCTTGGAGAGGTTTAAAACAAGCAAACCTGCAGGTTGTCCCTATTTTAAAAAATTGTTATGGTGTTTATCGATGGTTGGATGGCGGGTACTCGTTGCTGAATAAGTTTCCTTGATTTTTCAGTGGCGTGGCTCCTTACGACATTGCCTTGGTCAAGCTTCGAACCCCATTGACCCTGAACGAGCGAGTGGCCACAATAGGCCTCCCAAAACCAGGAAGCATTCCTTCGGGAAATGTCATCCTCTCCGGCTGGGGATCCATCTCGTCTTCTTCAAGTGCCATCATGCCTTCTAGTCTGCAGACTGCCGAACTTCCAGTGGTCGACATCCCTAAATGTCGACGAGCTCTCAATATTCTGATAGGCTCCTCTCCCTTGCACGAGACCAACGTCTGCACGGGGTCCTTGAAGGGCAGCCAGTCGGCCTGCAGCGTAAGTCTTCAGGGTCTGATTCTGGACGGAAGGTCCTTAGAAAAATTTCACGGAAACTTGACAGGATTTCTCTAATCTGCAGGGTGATTCCGGTGGTCCCCTAATTCTGAAGAACGAGGTCATCGGCGTGGTGTCCTGGGGCATCTTCCCCTGCGGCACTGGTGGTGCTCCTTCGGTTTACGTCAGGGTATCGGCGTTCATCGACTGGATTGAATCGATCATAGCGAATAATTAGTTCTAATCGAGATAATAAACGAAACTGGGATGACTGGACAAGGCTTACCTTAGTTTTTCCTTGGACCCTTTAATCGGGCGATGCAATGTGTTTCTTGACTCCTCTGGAAGGAGCTTCGATATCCAGAGATTGTCCACTTCAGGATGTTTTATATAATTTAATCCGTAAAGGCGTACGCTCCATCCTGGAAGCGAAGTTCCACCAGTCGATCACGTCCTACTTCCGCTGACGAATTCCGGAGGTCGAAGAGGAAATACAATCGTCGATCCGGAGAACCAGTCGACTTTGGAGCTGCCCTCGAAAGGAGTTGCAAAAGTGAGGTCCACTTCCCACGAAGAGAGTTCGTTTCCTGATACGCGTGCAGATCAGGCCCCACATCCGGTCTCCGTCCATTTCGCTCCAAGTCGCGATCGGTTCACCATGAAGAAGGCTTTGCCGGGCCTGGTCATACTCTGGACCCTCGTCAGGACCTTTTCGTGCCTGGACATGGACCTCCGTCCATCGAGCGAGGACCAGGAGTCCTGGCAAAGAGGGAATTCACGAGCCTCTTTAGCCGAGAGACCAACGAGGATAGTCGGAGGCAAGGATGCGGAAAAGGGTCGACATCCTTGGCAAGTGTCCATTCACTGGGGGGATCCAGGACGAGGATTAAAAATGAGACACGTATGTGGAGGCAGTCTCTTGACGGCAGGTTGGGTCCTGACTGCAGGACACTGCGTCACCTTGGCTCCTGGAGGACCTTCCCCGGGACGTTTCCTCGTCCTGGCCGGAAAATACAAACTTGGAACTCGGGAGGACACCGAGCAGAGGGGTCGTGTCCTGGAGATATTCATTTATCCTGACTACTCCGGGTGAGTTGAAAGAAAAATCCTATTTTTCTTTTTTTTTTTCTCAGGATCGCGAAGAGATTCCATTAAGATAGCGAAGATCCAGGGATTCCATTAGACGTCCTTCGCTAGTCCTTCGCTCCTAATCTCATTCCAGAGGAGTGGCACCCTACGACATCGCCCTGATGAAGCTGGAGCACCCCTTCGAGTTGAACCCCTTCGTCTCCACGGTGTCGCTTCCTTACCCCGAAGCTCCCCCCAAGGGCGAGGCCATGCTCACGGGATGGGGCAGTACCGGAAGGACGAGGGCTGTCGAACTTCCTGAAATCCTGCAAGGTGCCATCCTGCCGATCATCGATTACAACCTCTGCAAGGAAACCCTGGACGTCTCCCTACGCCACGAGGGCAGGAACCCTCTTCATCCCTCCAACCTTTGCACGGGTCCTTTGAATGGCACCTTATCGGCCTGCAAGGTTGTCCTCCGAGTCAATCTTCGATCCCTTTCGACGTTCCTCATCGATTCGGTTCCGATAAAATTTAAAGATATTTTTCAATAACCCTCTTCAACTACACAAGCATATCGAATAATTCTATTTATCAGGAGAAATGATATACCGAAGTGGTTAATTAATTTCATTCTCCTCTTCAGGGTGACTCGGGAGGGCCATTGGTGGTGATTAACGACTTCGGCCAAGCGGAAGTCATCGGCGTCGTTTCCTGGGGCTTGTTCCCCTGCGGGGCCAGAAACGCCCCCTCGGTTTACACCAGAGTGTCCGCCTTCGTCGCGTGGATCCACAAGATCATGCTGAATCACTGACCGAATAATTCGAATCGAATTATCAAGTTCGAACGTCTAAAAAATAAGACATCTACTATATTTATCGATATTAAAACGTGTCTAGGACTTAGATATTTAAATAAGAGTTCCTTTCATGCCTTGATTAAGCGTCGGATAAAGGACGAGTCGTGGAATCAACCACTCGTTGTACCGTTAATTCCGATTGCCTATCCGGACAAGAGGAAGGTCCACCAAGTCCACCAAGGATCCAAAGGTGGGAGAGACCTACCTTACCGGTTCCGGGTCTTCGCCCTCGAGAACGATCGGATCGCCAGAATAAATACTTAAATTACGCTCATAGATACGATTCGAGAGGACATTAAAGTTCCTCGCCATTACGGGAACCGGTTTTACCATCCAAGCATTGAAATCACCGAAACTCCTCCGAGGCCGGCGAACTGCTCGACCTCGGCAGAACAGGAAACAAACATCCTCATTCTGATCGATATTACGAATCATTAAATAAATGATATATAAAGGATATCACAAAATAAATACATAATGCTTATGATTATTTATAATTAGCGCTCGCGTTTCAGGAGCTTAGTGCAGGCTCTGGTCACTTCCTGGACGGCGGCGAGGGCTTCCTTCGCGGTGGGGATGATGAAATGTGCCGGAAGGACGAATCCATTTCTGCCTTTGTCTCTCAACTCGATCGTATAGGCGTATTTCACCTTCAGGATCGCCTTGGCCCAGTCGTCGGCACCCCCTGAAGCCGCGTAGAGGGTGGTCGCGCTGTTTCCCACGGTGTAGAGACTTCCACCCCCGACGGCCTTCATGGCCGCTGCGGCTCGTTGTCCAATTTTCTCCAGGTCGGCGTAATCGGGCGGTACGCGCTTATCGTAGCCCCAGGGGTAGAGAATGTACTGTCCATAGCTGTGGAATGTCAGGTACGCCTTGAAGACGAGGTGAATTGTGATTATAAATATTATTAGAATCATTAAAATGGAGTTGCTTGGCCATGGAAATGTACTGTAGTCGCACCTGGAAATTCGCCGAGCTAGCCTCGAAGAAGTTCTTGATGGCCCTGGTCTCCGGTTCGGAGAAAGGTCCCGTTCCTGCGTAAATTTCCCTGCAAGGCTGCTTGCTGGTGCCCAGACCTCCCCATCGGTACCCGAAATTGCGGTTCAAGTCGACGCCGATGCAGACTCCTCCTTTTTCAGGGCTGCTTCGATTCTTACGCCAGAGACGGTCGCCTCGGAAGGTATACTCGTACCTTGAAGAGTTCGTTGAAAAATTCAGCCTTGAGTGGGGAAGACTTTTCCGCCATTTTGTACGTCATAAAGAGCTCAGTTTCGTTCTCGCTAAATAATTATTCAGGTTTACCCATCCGGATTGACGACGGGAAGGATGTAGTAGTCAGCCTCCAAATCTTCGCTGTTCTCCACAAGGTAGTCAATAACGTAGGTCACTGCGGCAGGGGAGATCCATTCTCGAGCATGAATTCCACCGTCCAGCCAAATCGAAGGTACACCTGGTTCCCCTTTGCTAATCCTAAGTACCTGAACAATTACACGTAACGTGTAAGTATGTGCCCTGTGTGCCCTTTTTATTATTATTCAGCTAGAGATAATAATTAAGAGTGCCGAAGAGTACCTTAAGGGGTCGACCTTCCACCGAAGTTCCGATGGTCATTACCGAGCATACATCCGGGAAAGTTTGCGCCAGGTAATCCAGGTACCCATGTATGTCTTCGAGTCGATGGTAACTGCTCCATTCCATTCTGTGCCCTATTAAATTCTCGTTAAAATTGGAATTTTACGTTCTCGTGGTTCGAATACGAAATTGAGTACTAAAATGATTCAAGTTCATCGTTCCCTTTCAGCGAACTTGGAGGTCCACCAAAAGGAGTTACCTTTCGATTCGAACCGTGGAAACGTAATATAACTCTAGAAAAGCTCACCCCTGAAGAGCCAAGGCCCACCGCCACCGACTTTGCTATCTACAGGGTAACGAGGGAGGCGATAAGGTCGTGGGAATCTACCTTGAACCCTGACCCCGACTCTCTGCCACCAAGCGTGTCGTGCTAAAAATGACTAAACCATCTTCAGTGTTATCCAGAGATTGTTGGAACTGCGGTAAAAATTGCATTTCTTTCCTTTTTATCGCAGATAAAGAATCGGCCATCTTTCTCTCTTCCTTTCTTTTTATCCGTGAAACTTAGACCACGGTACTCGAATCGACCGGCGATCCAGAAATCATGACCCTGAAGTTAGATATGTATCTCACGTAATAGGACGATTCGCGGCCACGCAGGTGACCGTTACATTAACGGCTATCAATCGTGGAAAACGGGGCCATCAGGTCTCCAAAAGGTTGACGACCTCTTTCAACCTGGGGTAAGTCGACGAGACGCTGAGATCATTCAGCTTGGAGTCATTAAAGCGGTAACGAGGAGATACTTAACGACGAGTCCTAATGGGGAGCTGGAAAATCCCCAAATCTCGATATTCATAATCAAAACGATCATTAAGATCGGTGATTTTAGGCATTTTTCAGAATCCTTAATTGCGGTCATTAGGACTCCTCGGTAAGTATTACGGATATTATTACAATTGGCAAAGAAAATATATAGCAGATAGTAGGTGAAAAATTGCACAGCTGAAGTTGACTCAAGGATGCGGTAAGCTGAGAGAAAGCGGCGAAGCGGGTCGTGGAGGGACCCTGAAGAGGATCCCGAAGAAGACAAATTTCGAACCTTTCCTCCCCTCTAGCTCCTCGAGGATCTCCGGTGGAGGAGTCGGGTTCTCCTGGTCGATGGCTTGCTGCAGATCAGGGATGACGACGTCGTACTTGACGTGGCGGTCCCTGAGGAAGCGGGAAACCCTGGAAATGGCGTCGGGCCTCACCAGGACGTCCACCATGGTCTGGTTCCCGATCCATGTGGCAACCTCTAAAAGAAAAAATGCAGACGTTTAAAATCATCCACGTTTTGTTTTATCAATAAAGCAAAATTTTAATTGATTTTATTAATTTATGGATTTATTGAGAAAGGGTTAAATTCAACCTCCGGTTTCTTGGAGGTACGACACGAACTCCGTCTGGTCCTCCCCTGCTGAGACCCTCCAGACTTGTGCGCCCTCGTAGGTGATTTTTTCTTCGGGGATATCGGCGGCCTTGACGACGACCGCGTCGGCCAGCTCGGCGCCCTCGCTCACAGGGACGCCCGGCGTCTCGCAGTCGGCGTCACGGCTCCCGCGAGGCGTCGTCGAGGCTGCGTCAAGGCCCACCAGAAGAAGGGCGAGGACTCCCACCCGCATCCAGGGGGCGCACGTCCACCGCTTCAGGCCCATGGTCCTCACTGTTCGGGTGACGGCCAAGGACTGACCTCTCGGCCGGCCCGCGGCCTCCTTTTATAACCTCGACGGACCTCGGACCGTCTAACGGGACGCGCCGAGCCATCGACCTGTCGCACGAGGAAGTTCAGAAATCCTCAAAAATCGAACTAGAGCTGATACTAGGTCAATTCCATTTTTTCAGCTGGAAAAATTCCGAGTAAAAAAAAAAGAAATATTACGCGGACATGGGGAGTGATTATTAATAGTAAAAAAAAATGAACTCAATGTGGGATCAGGTCAATCTCTCGTCGAAAAACGCTCTCGGGAATTTTTCACTCCAGGAGGAAGAAAAACAAACTAAAATAGAAAGGAAATTCCGGGAAAGAAGAAGAAACTCAGAACTCGCACGATTTTGAGTAATTTAACCAGTCGTCGAGCTCGTCGTCAGAAGTCGGGGCTTCCGTCGTATCGACGAAAGGGAAGCCTCGAATGGCAGTTCTCTAGCTCTTCAGTTCCGGTGTTGCAACCAGCGTCGCCGACGCGGGCGTCGCGACGTCGCTGCGGTCGTGGAAATCTCTGAAATCGCTCCAGTGAGAAATTTCGAAATTCCAAAGTGTACTTAATCGCCATAATTTTTAATTAAATACCCATACTAAATGGTTGCGCCAAATGGTCTCAGTTTATCTAGGAGTCATCTTCGACGTACCTGAAGTGAAAAGTGCTGGAAATAGACTTTTCCTCGAATTCGAGGATCATTAATTAACGGGATATATCGTAAATATCGCAATGAAGTGGTTTCTAGTAGTGATGGTAATAGCAGCTGCGGCCAAGCCGAATCAGGTAAGACATTCAAGATTAATGGAAAATTATTTCCACCATTTTCCATTCATTTCTTACTATTACCCAACACAAGGTGACTGGTTTTGCCTCGTAATGAGTACGCCTGATAATGGTCAGAAGTATCGTGCTAGTAATACAGAGATAAATGGCTTTGATAACTGCACCGTGTAATCAGCGGAGGAGCAGAAGCAAGAATTCAGCTGTTTATATACAGCATTAAGTGGATAAGTGACGATTTACCTTTGCGTAAGGCTTCTTCATGGCATTGCTCCCATTACCGGAGCGCAGCCGTCCCGCCGGCAATTGATTCGATAAATTTTTTTTTAACCGATAGTTTTTTCTAACCGACACCCACAATGAATAAATAAGTTCAGAGTTCGAGTTAATGAACAAAAAGTGACTATGCTAAAATTAATTCCGACCGATGCCGTTCCCGGAAAAATGTCTCCGTTCTTGCACCAGACTGATCAGATGATCTGACCTGCTTATCAAATAAAGAAAAAAATTAATAAATGGTAGAATTAGTTTAAAATTAATTCCACATCGAAGGACGCTAATATCTAATGAACCTGGGTAGGATTAATTAATACGAGTAAATTTCCAGATTTTTTTCACTTTTTTATCAGGCTACCACGTTCACGGTCACGGAACAGGTGTTCTTAGATATCATGATCGGTGATCGACCGGCAGGTCGATTGGTAATCGGTCTTTTCGGGGACCTGGCCCCAAAAACTGTGAAGAATTTCGTCACCCTGGCCACCACCGGCGTTGCTGGGAAAACTTACATCGGGACCAGGTTTCACAGGGTCGTCAAAAAATTCATAATCCAAGGTACCTGAATATAGGATTTTTAAGAGCCGACTTTTCGACGTTCCCAGGAATCCTTTTCAATATTTTTTACTCTCTCCCGGTCCTTCTTCGATTCTATCGAGAATAAATTTACCCGGTTGCTTCGGGGACCTTCTTCGGCATGCTCTCCAAGAACTGGATCTTTCTTTTTTAGGCGGCGACATCGAGAATGGCGATGGGACCGGGTCGATCAGCATTTACGGTAAATACTTCGAGGACGAGAACCTCGACGCGAAATTCTCGAGTTCAGGATTCGTCGGGATGGCGAATGCCGGGAAGAATACAAATGGTTGCCAGTTCTTCATAACGACGATCGCCACTCCCTGGCTCGACGGAGAACACACCATCTTCGGCAAGGTTTCCCATCGCTCCCCTCTTCGTCAAGATCGACTTGGCAATGATTTATTACCTGATAAACCCGAAATAGAGTTACTTATTCCCGATTAAAATAGGACCTTCATATTCTAAACATGAGAGAAGGTCACTTGCTGAGTTGATCCTGGGTTGACCTCGACTAGAATATGGAGCTTAACAGATTTTCTTACATTTTTCGAGGTGGTCGATGGTGAAGATCTGATCTTCAAGATCGAGCAGGTGAAGACTGACAACGAGGACAGGCCTATCAGTCCTGTGACGATCCACAAAAGTGGAGTTTTGCCGCTAAAAAGTTCCTTCACCGTGTCCGATGATCCCTATAAGTAAGAGAACTATTAATTAATATTTAAAAAGACTATGGTATCAATGCTGACAATTTAAGAAATGTAGATTTCTAATTATATTCAACTCCGGATATAACAATTCTCACATCGCTTCAGCTTATGGGCGTGGATTAAAGCAACATCCATTCCACTGGGCTTCAGCTTCTCCATCCTGGCATTTTTCCACTGGATGATGAAGCAGTTGGACATATAATCACCTGCAATATCTCAGAAAAAAATCCCCACCTAAAATAAATGCTCTGCTCACCCCCAAAATAAAGGGAAAAAAAATGATAAAAGTACATTAACCTGTTTCTCTTCAAACGCCCCCTCAAAAAAAAAATCATAACTCGACATTTGGTCTGCTAAAAAGTTCGAAGGTTGATAACAAATCCGTAGAAACATTTCCCCTCCCTCGATAAGATGCGTTCAGAAGCTCCACTTTATCAACAACCGTGCACCGATACCGACAGTTTCTCTTATCAGAAACATTTCCGAGCTCAGTCGAGAAAGAACTGAGCGAGTAACCATTCCCTACCTTACCGACCGCCGCCTTATCAGCAGTGATATTGAATGGGAGGAAGGGAGATTCGTCCATCCCCGTCTTCGACATTGCATCGTCGTTCAGAAAGCGATCCAATCGGGGGCAATCGCCCCCAAGGCTCAGCCACCCCCGACCGGCACTCGGGGATGCAAATTCGATGAAAACTTGGCGGGGGCACTCTTGCCCCCCGGGGGGTGCGAGTGTCGCCGAGTGTAAGAGGTCTCGACTTGTGGGGGTTGGGGGTGGGGGGGTGGGTAAGAGGATGCCCCGGGGAGTGCCGCTTATATATCGAGTTAGAGCCGTTTGAATACTGAGGTGGGATCGGAGGACGGGGGGCAGGGGGACCCGAGAGGACATGGGGTTGAGGGGGCCAGGGGGTGGCGCGAGGTGGTCGATGGCGGAGGGTGGAGGTCCAATGTCGGTCGCTTTTGTCCCGGGCTGAATTCCCGAAGAGACGTCTCCAGGATCAAAAGTTGGTGCCGCCTTCTTCACCCCTTCACGCGATTATCCGTCGCCGGAAGTATCGGGCCTCCCCCGGCTTCCGGAGCCGCCATGTTAGCCAGTCACCTCGGCAGACGCTTGGAATACTTAAACCACCCCCCGCGACGCCTTCATAAGATATTCCGCCCCTGCGATCGGCCGACAACTCGGTTTCCACCAATCGCGATGTCGACCCTCGCAGAATCTACGGATGGGACTGATAACGATGACGATTGAATCTCACGTATCGATACGGGGCTTGGTCTCCGCTCTCCGACAGCGATCCAAGATGGCGGCCGAAGAACTTTGGTACGCCAGTAAAAAAGACTATTGCGGAGTTTTCCCAGCGCTGAAGACCTTTGATTAATTGCGAATAAATTTCTCATTTTCTACTGCACTTTTTTTATCTAATCGGATGTTTCCTCTTTAACCTCTAGAAGTTTAAAAATTATGCTTCTGATAGATGTGTGTTTGTATGAACGCTCGACGTTAGGATATACCCGAACAAGTGAATTTGGCATTGAATTCCATCGAATTTCTTGATGACCGTTCTTAGCGCGACGATGATGAAGGTGATCGTTAAATATGGGCCATAATTCATGGATCGGTTCATCGACGGGTGCGATAATGCACCGCATGCAGACCCTCTTCATGGGCGTAAATCAATCCTCAGGACAGAGGACGGCGTCGGTAGATGAAGCATGAAGCTCGAATTAAGCGGCAACGCAAATGGATCGTCTCGAGTGATCCATTTGGGGAGATGCCGAAGAGAGGAAGAGCGCGAGACAAGAGGAGCACCCTGATAAGCCGGAGGTCGCGGCCGCGTTATCGATGGCGCAGGGCGATCAGATATCGACGTCGTCGAGGAACGGCTGACCCGGGGCTGGCAGTTGACGAAGAGCTCCTGGAGGAGCCCGATCCCCGGCCAGGTCATCAATGATGCAGCTAAAGAAGATATATGGGAAAGTCCTCGCCGCGGAGGCGCGGCGGCCCTCAGGGGTCGATTTCGCGAAAAGACTCGAGACGAACGAACGACCACCCCATCCACCTGGGTCCATCGACGATTCCACCCTGGATTATTCATGGACCGATTAATGAATCCCACCCCCTGGGAATCTCGCCACCGACGAGTCCAGGGTGGCTTCGAGCGAGTCGCAGATATAGCGACCTCCCTTCGGGGTTTCTTCCTCGAATAAAGGAAGAACACCTCGACACCCTCTTTCAACCCTCTGTGGACTCTCTCTTAACCCTTTCTCAACCCTTTCTCGAGAGGGAAAAAGCGTGTCGATCCATCTTTAACCCTCTTCTACTGAGCGATGCTTGGCGGCACGTGCCCGCCTCGGACGCGCCATTTTTTCTTAGATGCTCCTGTTTGCTCCCTGAGCAGAGTCCTGGATCGCAATTTGTTTGCGGAACGAGGTCCTGCTCGTTATTAGCAGGCGCTGACAAATGGCGGGTCCTTCGGAGGAAATTTTGGGAAATGGCCTGTCCTCGCCTCGAGGTGGTCTCGGAAACTATGCCTTCTCTTCATGAATTTCTAGCCTGAAGAAGGGGAAGGAGTTAATTTAGTCGATTAATAATCTGAGATACACGTTATAATCGAGCCTGTGATTCTTGGCCTTGCTTTGAAATTGTCCCTGTGTTTTTTAAGCAGTGCGGAAAAAAATATAACGTGGATGAAATTCGGCGTTGCCGGGCGAAGTTCTCCAAAATGGCCGTCGCGATCGACGCGCGTCAGCCCGCGGCGTGAATGATTCAAGGCTGGGATGCAACAAAGCGATAATTATGGGAATGAGAAGACCCCCCTGGGCACCCTGTCCGGTTTCCACCCCTTTCCATTTTCCTCGATAAACCGTCCCAACGGTCCTTCGCCACTCGTCGAAAGAGTTCGGCCCGGTTGATCCTCTCGTATCAAATTGGCGCGCATGGAGCGTAATCTCCCTCCTCAAAAATTCCATTAGCGTGCCGGGACGCGCGGGGGTTAATTGAAAATTGGCACTTTTTAATCCCACCCCGGGTGTCCGAGTGTCGTTGCACTGACACGGAAATCCCTGGCCCTGTGACGGCCTGCAACCGGATACAACGGCGTATTTTCACAAAGTGAGATTTACGTGTAACGGACCTCACCCCCTTCTTTCGCGCCCCCGCCCTGGGCGTCGCGCCGTGCGTTAAAATAATTGACCCTAGTGGGCTTATCCAGGGTGGCTACAAAGCGGTCTCACCCCCCGGCCACCCTTCGGTAGACGGAAGGACCCGCGAGTGATTTGGGGGGCAATTATGATAATTACGGCAATGAGCCTCGGAATTACGACGTTGTCACGAGCCGTTGCCCTGTACGTGGATTTGGGCTCGTACGGTGAAAATACCCAAATTTTGGATTCTATGGTACCAACCTAACCGACAACGTCTATTTTTATTTCTCTCCTTCAAATAATGGATTAAATCATGAGGAAGTTTATAAAATTGGTCATGATCGTAATCCGGGTACTGATTAAATTTTTGGCGTGACGATTCTTGATAAGGGTTCTTAGTTTTAAATAAAGAGGTTTCTTGCGATTAGGAGTAGAGGGGAGGATGCGACTTTTTCGTCATGTTCGAAGGTTTCTTGAGGGGGTCGGGGGTCACCCCCGTCTTCGGCGAACGGCGCGATCGCGATCGATCTTCCCTTCTCCGTGCGATGTGTCGTTGGCTGGCAGCTCTTCGCGGCATTTCAATTCCCGACTCCCGCCCCCGCCGCCCCGACGCTCGGCATCCGTCACGCACGTCTCGGGAGATGGCGGAGGGACGGCAGGTTTTACCAATTTGGCGACACCGCGCCGCCCCCGACTCCGCGGAGTTATATTGCCCGCCGCCGGATCCGGGGATGGGTGGTTGTAAATAATACCAGGAACCAGCCGGTTCGCCGGTTCGCCGGTTCGCTGGTACGCTCCGTGGCCATCCAGCGAGGGGGCCGGAGTCTCGGTAGTCATATTTCAGGGAGGACTTCCCCCCGGGGGTTGTGAATTCCTTAATAGTCATAACCCCCTATCTCCGCATACGCGGTACCGACTTGTCCCCGAAGTGACTCTTGCATCAAACATCAAGAGCCACGGGAGGAGGAGCCGTGTTTTAGCCCCGTATTTCGGGATTGACCCGCCCCGAGAGAAAGCCGCCCCAAAGAAGGGGGCGAGGTTACTTTCCTCTCCGCAATCCTACAATTTAAAATACTATCTTTAAGTGCTTCGTTATTTAATAACTGTCACAAGTATTAATAGTTGCTCCATCAGCTCGAGTAAAGACTCGCGTGACAATCAGGAAAATCAGAAGCACTTCGACCGGCCTTAATTCTAAATCTTATCAGCTTGCTTTCTGATCATCCGACCCTACTTGGGTCGTCCAACTCCGGAACTCGGCCAGAAGTCCGGAGGGAAGCCCTCGAGGGTGCTCCGAGAGATTTACAGGGTCTCGGTTTAATAATGAGGGTCTCTATTACTCGATGACTGGAGTCAGGGTGGCCTGGTTCGATCTGTTAATCACCGCTCATCCCTAACTGTCTCCGGACCCCTGGAACAGGGATGGGTCCGCGCGCCTCCGGTCCTACCACCACGACCCGCCGTCACCGACTGAGGCACCACCGCCACTGTCAGCGCCTCCACTACTACTGAGCGCCGCGTCATCGCTGACGGCGCCTCTACTGGTATTGCGAGTACTCTCATCATCACCAATAGCGCTGGTATTGTGGAACGGTCTCATCGTCACTGGAGACATCTCCACTACTACTTCCACTACTAGTGTGACTTTATCATCAATAAATAGTAATAGTGAGAAGGTGAGTGAATAAAAATAGTGTGATTTTACCAGCAATGAGAACGTTTTTAGTACTATCAGTGCCTTTGATACTATCATCACCGTGTCTATAATTCCAGTAGAGTCTCCACTGTCAGTGTGTCACCGACACAGTCAGTGCTTTCACCACTACCATCGGCACCTCCACCTTCACCACCAGCGCCTCCACCACCGTCGGTGTCGCACGCCACCCCCGGCGTATCAATTAATCTTACCCAGAATGCAATAACTGTCCAATCTGCTCGTGGCTGCGTCACGGTATCGCGCAGTCAGTGCCGTTATGTGCGTTCTCCTAACTCCGGAGTACCTTGCGTTCTGTCCCCTGCCCCCAGAAGAGGGGTCCGCCCCGGGTAACGACCGAACTGCCGGGAAATCTCGAACTACTTGCGAAAATGAGAAGGGAACACTCCACCCACGTGGACGGGGAACATATTGGGCCAAGGGGGTAGTCGGCAGTTTCCTTAATTGGCAGCGTCTCTTCCCATCGAGTACAGGGATCATTCGAGGCCTTCAAACGTGATCGCTTTCGTTCTCCTGATTATGGAATCTCGCGAGAAACGACTACGATATACTTGAAACTTGGGACGATCTCGGAATCGGTCCATCGAAGGATGCTGAGGTCTCCCCTTCCTGATTTTCCCTTATCCACCCATGGCTTTCTGGATATTTTTTTAAAAAGTTGTTGCATTTATCATTCTTTTTTTTTTAATAGAAATCCCAAACAATTATCTCTGGTGATGATTTTCCGACCGAACATGAATTTTCCTTGGTTTAAATAAATATTTAATATTCCGTTATTATTTCAAGTGATTAGTTGAGGATGGAGGGTCTGTTCATTAAACGAACCCCTGTTAGTGAAGAGGAGATTAATGATATTTCTAGGTGAAATTAATTAATCTAAACCTTCCCTTGACAAAAATTACATTTTTCGATTTAAATTGAGGGATTGAATTCAGGACATGAATCGTGGAGAGCTCTCGTCCGCAACCAACGCGTACAAATGGTAACAGCGTTTATTGTTAATCGTGACAATAATAATTAATAATAATATAATAATAATAGAGAGGTCTAATTACAATAATTACACAGGAATCAATAGTACAACAATAAAACCTTTGGTAGAATGCGAGATAGAGAGATAGGGGATGAGACAGAGATCGATAGGAATAGTGGAAGAGAGAGATCGAAAGAGATGAGAAGGTAATGGGATACACTAGGAATGTCACTTTCCTTTGGCGAGAATCGGTGGACACCACCTAGTTTGTGCAACGATTCCATTTGTTCTTCCTTCTATTTATATTTATGTATATATATATATATGTATAGAGTTTTGTTTATTTATATTTATATATTTATACGCTTAACGCTACGCGAGAATAGACACTAGGTATTTTATTTACAATCTTGGTCACAGTTGCAACTGGGGATGCCCTCCGTACGGAACAGCTGCTAGAAAAGGATATGCAAAATATAGGGAGAAAGAGAGGAAGAGAGAGAGAGGGAGGAAATGGCGGAAATACACGGGAAAGGTTGTTCACGCTGGGTTGGATTAAAAAAAAACAGGGGAAAGAGTAAACGAATTGTTTAACAGGAAATACTTTCGGGTGCGCAATGTTGGCCTGAAATTTGCGAAGGGAAGGAAATTCGCCCACGCGGCCTCGTCCATTTTGCGTAACCAAACGAACCGCCGTTTTTATCCGTTGGCGATAAATCGACCTTTCCCGCGTAATTCGAGGTGTCTACATAGGTGAGGGAGAGAGAGAGAGATATAGTACAGATTATCGATTAGCGACAGATAGCAGGTTATTAGAGTGAAAAGTCCTCCGAGCTGTGGCTGGACGATACGGCCTACCGAGAGATACGATTGCACCCTTTAATCGAGATAAGGAAAACCTATCGCCTCGGCCGAGAAAAATAAATAACTCCTTCGATCGTTCGGTTCCTTCGCCAAGGATCCTTAAGAATTGCAGTTTCGAGGGAGATTAACGATTCACTCGGAACAACGATAGGCTGTCCTTTATCATTTTCTCTAAATCTTAGATATATCTCAATTATCAGCAGTTATTTCACGCGATAGGAGGAATTAATAGACTCCGAGTTTCCTCTCTGTCGATTTTGCCGTTTCCATGGGCAGATCAGTGTGCGGTCTCTCACGTATGTCGTAAAAATTCACATTTTCATCCCCTGATCGGGATGCGGGTCGACTGGAGTATTTCTCTTGGAGCCGCGGCCGTCCAATCACGAGGCTCGGCTCACTGGAGAATCGGCGCGCTCCCATTGGCCAGATTCGGTTGGGGCAGCGCGCCGATTGGTGGGCGGTGGCTCGCGGCCCCTAGATCGGCGTGCTGCGTCTCGCGGTGCCTCCTAAGGTCCACTTTCCGTTGGAACGCTCGACCGCAGAGCTCGCAGGCAAAGGGCTTGAAGCCTGTATGCTTTCTCGAATGGGTGATCAGGTTGCTGCTCTGCGAGAACGCCTTCCCGCACACCTGGCACTTGTGCGGCTTTTCGCCTGAAACGGTAAACAAAATCCACGTGAGGTACGACGACCTCGAAAAGAAGCAGGGTGTACCTTTAAATTGAAAATATCTCCAACGTACGATCATACATCTATATAAATATTTGCGGAATAATATCATGCCCCGAATAAAAAATATTTTCATTCAACCAAATAAATATTTCTTTGAGTAGTAACGACGAAATATTGTGTAAATTCAGAGAACAACTGTTAGGATTAAATAAAATCGAATAAATCGTATACGACGTTTCTTCGGAACTGTATGACAACCTATTTAAGCGAGATAATTATTCTTCGAGTAAAAAATCTGCTTCTTCGGTTCAATGAATTTTTTTTGGGCTAATGTAGTAGAGACTTATGAGAGGTGACATTTCGAAAATCCAGTTCGCCCTACCAAGAATACTAAATACAAAATATATCCGACTGTAATAATTTGTCCAAATAGAAATGCCCGGAATCGGGTGATTCCTCGATAAGGATGGGTGTCGTCCCTTCCTGAGACGAATGGACCCTTCGTCGGAAGGACCCGCCCCCGGAACAAAAGCGGCGCATCGACTTAAAAAAGGCGTCGCCCCGGAGGGAGGCATGCATAGTGCATGATCCGGCTCTAAATTTCAGGAGAGCGAGGCCGGGCCGAGTTCACGGGCCGGCGGTTTTTAATCCGCATAGAGGAGACCCTCCCCTGGAGGGGAGGCGCCGGGCGGGGGATCCGGGGTCGGGGGTGGTTTCAGGGATGCGAGGCACGCCCGGTCAAGATTTCCTCCCAAGCGGGAATCTCAGCCGCCCCGGCGCGGATGGTCGAGAGAGCGAGCGAGAGGGAGCGAGGGGCGCGGGGGAAGGGGCGAGGGAGAAGGGAGAAGGGAGAAGGCAGGATGCGGGCGGAGTGGTGGTATCGCCCTCTCTCTCCCACGCGCGGCCGCCGACGGCAAGCGAGAGAGACGAAAGAAGAAGGGTGGGAGCGGCCCCGCGCTCGTTTCTCTCATCTCGGCCGCGAGCTCTGATTGGCGGCCGGGGGCGGCTCCAACCCCCGTTGCCCTGGCAACCGCGAGACCCAGGCAGATTCAGGTATGCGAACTATGCGGGCTGCAAGCAGAGGCCGTTAATGGACTCCCCATCCATCCACCCTGTCCGGTCGCCGCGCTCGGGGGTGGATCCATAAACAACTCGTTAGTCGAGCCTTCAATCTCGCCGCCGCGCGACGATTTATATCAACTCGACCTGGCGTCGCCGTGGCAGGGACGGGAATGCGGCCTCGTGAGGTCGGGCCCCGAAATATGCGCGAAGAACCGGGAAATCACCCTAAGGAGGCTTCGAGAAGGAAAAAAGATGGCGTCGGTTCTCGTTAAATAATGATATAAATTCACATTTTGGAAGGGAACGCCTATTCAGACATCCAGGATAACGTTTTTCCCAACCGGTAGCGATAAGAATTTCAAAATGATCGGCATTCAAGGAAATCCAACATGGCGTCCACGTTCGGTAAGGTCTAAGGCTTGAAATCACGGGGAATTCTCGAGGTTAGAAGGAACACCGGCCCATTATTTTCCCATGGAAAGTTCGAGCGCAAGAAATAACGCGGGATTATTTTCAGATGTAGAAAGTGGAAGCGTGGATATATCATTTTTTCCGGGAAATCGGCGCTACTTCGGCGCCTTATACCGCCATCGACCACGTCCACGGAGGAGCGTATCCTGGCGTCGGTCTCGGGGAGCTTGGTTCATCCCCCCCCTTTCCAACCCCTCCGGAGAATTTACTGGCTCGTAAAAATCAAGAACCGTCCGAGTTCGCTCCGAGGTTGCCCCCTGTCTTTATCTTCCTGCAGCTCGTTCGACCGCTGCGGCGCTCGGTGCACCCGCACTCCCCACCCCGGAGTGCACCGGGATGCTCTGGGTGCTCGTGCACTCGAATCGCACCGCCGCGCCGGTCAAAGATTTATCGAGAGGGTCGAGATTCGGGGGGTGAATCTTTAAGGCGAGATCGAGAACCACTGAGGTTTAAGACGCCATTACACTCCCGGCTGTCGGCCGCCGCCCCTAAAACTATATTAAACTCCGGGAAATCTTGAGGGTCCTCCTCCTCGCGGGCGCGCTCGACCTCTCCGGTCTCGTTGCCGAGGGACTCACCCCTTCCCGAGGGGCGACCCGAAGAGGGTGGCGGAGGCCGAGGCGCAAACCGAGACGGCACTTTGATCGCTTTTACAAACGGCACTCGACGAGTCCTCCGAGGTATCTTATACCTCGCGAGGCCGCGATTCGGGGTGAGGTTATGTTTCCTGGGTCTCCACCTCCTGCAGAAGGAAATTCTACTTGGAGATTAACTGATGACATGGATGATAATTGTTAAAATATTTCATACCATGTATTTTTCATTTTATAATGAATGTTGGCTTTAGAAAATTGTCAAGGTGTGTTGTAAATGTCTAGAGGTCGACTGATGATACCGATGATAATTGTTAAAATATATACCATGCATTTTATTCTTTTATAACGAAAGTTGGCTTTAGAAAATTGCCAGGTGTGTTGTAAATGTCTGGAGGTCGACTGATGATACCAGAAATAATTGTTAAAATATATTATGTCATGTACGTTTTTTTTTTCCTGTAATGAAAGTTGGCTCTAGAAAATCGTCAAGACGCGTTATAAATAATTCCTCGGAATTACGACAATTCACTAGAGTCTACTAGTGTGGAATTAATTATTCCTTGAATTGAGGAAATATATCATTGGTTGAATGATATTTTTTAATATTGGTAGGGAAAGAGACCAGGAACTAAAGCTAAGGGAAATCACCCCGAAGAGCCAGTGGAATCAAGCGTCCGAGCTGTGCTCCGGCAGCCGGGATTTTCCTCAGGGCTGATGGGTCTTCGATGGGAGCGAGAAGTAACGAGACGGACCGAGGCAAGATCAAGGACCGCCCGGGCGAGTGGTGGGCGGAAAAAGAGCCGGGAAGGTGGTGGGCGGAAAAAGAGCCGGGAAGGTGGTGGGCGAAAAAGAGCCGGGAACGTGGTGCGGCGGTCCAAGAGAGCACCGGAGTCTGGCGGAGGCATTGATTTCCTCTCGTCTCCATCGACCACGTTCCGACCCACCGCCGAGAGGGGGCGTCTGCCCTCCAATCGAAATCCCGCGAGAGAAGGACACGAAGGAGCGATGGAAAGAGAGAGGCGGACCCGCCGAGAGAGAGAGAGAGAGACAGCCGTCAGAGCGAAGAGGGAATCGAACCGGAGTACCGCGTCTCATATTTCACCTCGAGGCCAGCATGGATTTCCTTCGATCCTCCAGGCTGCGCGTCACGGCCGGGATTACCTCACGTATCAAGTAGACGTCCCTCGCATATCGGGAGATGATCAGACTTGAGAGAACCGAGAGCGACCGCTGGTACCCTGACGGACATGGGAGCCTATCTGGAGGACGTGGTACCAGAGGGACAAAGAAAAGGCACCGGAGTTTCCTCCTGTACAGGGTTGGCCGGAAGGTATCGAACTATGTCTTTCGTTGGTCTCGACGATGTCGAGGCGTCTAGGACTATCCTAGGACTATCGGATCAGTTTCCAGCACACGAAACCACGAATGGATTGCTCGGAAACCCTGAAGCCCCTTCCGCGGCATCTTCAGGAACTGCCTGGTCCCTTGGAAGTCGACACATTGGCACCACTTCGGGGAGGAAATTAAGAAACCGTGCCCAAATCATCCCCCTGGAGCCGATAACAGCGCCAAACACCTCCCAAGAGTCCTGGAGCAGCGGCGACAACGGCGACGATAACGATTACTGCGGACAACGGGCAGCTTTCGGGGTGCAAGTTCCCAGAGGGTTGTAAGCAGTCCTGGACCAGTTTCGGTTTGACGGCCACCCCTCCCGCAACAACCCCGATAGGAGGCGAACTAATACACGGCGTGCAGCGGAAGTGCCGACGTGTCCGGAGCCCCGGGACCCCAGCTCGCAGTTGGTACCCGTGTCGGCCGGTCTCCGTGGACCCGATTCCGCCCGACAACGCGGTGTATTTACTATTTCAGGTACACGACCAGCACGCCCGTTTCTCGTTCGACCAGCAGGAATACGGCCGGGACGCCGCCCAGGGATGCGTTGTCCATACGGCCCCCAACACGTGTAGGCGGCCTCCGGTGTTGGAGCCTCACCGATGCACCGCCAGCATAGGTGCATCGGCTGCAGCTCGCGGAAGCGCAGACCTGGGAATTACTGGGCCCTCCTCCGTCCCCTCTCGATATATTTCAAACGTATCCAGGGACTCGGAAAACCACCTCCCTCGTTTAAACCCCACCTTCCTGGCTAGACTGAGGCCCTACTTTGGTGCCAATTTTTACGAATTAAGTACATGGGCTATTTTAAAGTCCTGAAGATGTTACCACGGTGTTATGTATCACCAGTAATGGCAACCCGGATCAGGAAGAAGTTAATGGCCAGTGGTCCTGGAGCCTGATCTGGTACCCTGGGCCAAACCTCGTTACTAGGAAATCTGGAGATGTTTTAAATTTATGAAGGCCTCACTGTGGGTGGGTCATCACAAGTATCAAATTCATAAGTCACCGCGTGGTTAATTCACCACACTGAATTTAACACTTGGATTCAATTGACGGGAGCTGAAGAGAGGATGGTCTCTAGTCCTGGCCATGTCCGTGTTTCACTTTTGTGGGATTTCTTTTTGTATTGGTGGTTAATTTTTCACCCTTCGAGCTATCCGGGGGTTCTTATCGTCATCGGATCCGCTGGCAGTCTCGATTTTACCAGGACGAGCCGATATCGCGGTACTCGCGGGATCGCAGATCGGATTTGTCACGACTCCTAATGCGATCGTCGCCGCAATAATTCAATAGCCATCCATCCGGCGTGATCGGTAGGGAGCGGATTACTCCTCCCGTCCCTTGTGGCAGGACGGCACTAAGGAGCTAACTGATTTACCCAAGACCTATCGAGTTTCTTCCCTCCCTCGGTTTTCGCGACTCTCTTATCCGCGGTGCTCCAAAAATCCAACAGATGCGCCACCGGGGCGGATGCTTTTGCAGGTTGCCGCGTTAAAAGTGGACCGTTGACTTTACTTTGCCCCGGCCCGATCGGACAGGTCGTGTTTGCCGTGAAAACAGAGGGGCTGCGCACTGTGTGGTTAAGGGCACGTCCGCGATGCACACTCGAGAGGTGCCGAAGCGACGGGGGCACGTGCGAGGTCCCCGCGATCGATACCACCGGCATCACCAATTTCGCCCCCGAAACACCCCTTAACACCCCCTGGCTCGAAATTTCAAAGTGGCGATCGACGTGTCACCTGTGAGCCACCCCTTTGATTTTTTTTCCGACGAGATCTATGAGAGTTGGACTGGACTGGGTTGGATGAGAGTATGCCTAGCCAAACGTGCCCTTCTTCCTGGTTTGGGTGGTTTTTCCTTAGAGGGGGACTTTTCAATCTCAAGAGTATTTATTCTGGGCCTAATCGTGTAGTTCTCCTGGTAAAGGGTGATTTTTCATCATAAGGAATGGATTTTTTGTTTGTGCGAAAATTATTGCGGGGCAAAATGTGATGGTTCCTCGCTAGGGGTGGATTTTTTCTTCGTACGATTATTTCTATTGGAAAAAAAACAAAACATGGCAGTCCCTGTTTGAGGGTGGTTTTTCCTTGAAAGGGATACATTTCTCCTCCTCGCGAAAACTGACAAGAATAAATTCCCTCCGGAGGTTGATCGCGGTTGCATAATTTTCGGGTGAAATTTCCACCGTGAATTTCGGGGCAAGATCGGGAAGGGTTGAAACATCGCGGAATAATTGGAAAGATTGGAGTGGGGAATTTCGGAGGATCCAGCAATCAGCCCGGACGGATGCGATATGACCGATCGATCGCCCCCCGGTCGGCACTCTCCGTTAATAAAGACTCGATCATCCCCTCGGGAATCGTTCGCCGAGTCTGTCGACGGGGTCGATCCGTGAACTTTCCCACCGGGGTCGGTTTTAATTTCGAGAGAGGCTGCGCGGGAATCGCGTCCTGGATTTACGATGATCGGCGGACTCCGACGTCGTCCGGGAAACTAAGTGTCCGTGACAAAATCGAAGTCCAAAATGGGGAAGGACAGTTTTCGGAAAACCCCGGAAAAGCTGGACCAGCCCCCAAATTGGAATTCCCGGGGTCCCGAGTTGACCGGAACTTTTTCCGCCCTTCCTCGACGGGATCGCGAAAAATCCGCCATTTTGCCTTACCGACTTTTCCCTTTTTTCCCTCTATCGTAACGGGATTTCCACCCTGGGGTTGTTCGCACCGTAACCGAGGCCGGTTCACGCCCTCGCCATTCCGGGTGGGCTCGTGCACGAACAATATTTGCCGAGCTCTTATTCTCGGTGTTCCTTCTCCCGCAAGCCCTGCCAACCCCATTCGAGACCTGACTGGGCTCGTGCACTGCCACCGGCACCCACCTACGTACCTAATAATGATTTTACGTTACGCCGCGGCCGTACCCCCTGCGCCGGTCCCAGGGGAGGTGCCGCGCCCTTATTGCACATGGCCCCAGAGATATCCACGGGGGTCGCAGAGCTGATTCTCATTAGCCGCGAGGCCCGGAACCACCCCTGACGGTGGCGACCCACATTTTCCAGTTTTTTTTTCTTTTCTCCCTCTTTCCTTTTATTCAAGGCAAACCTACACCGAGGAAAGAAAGACTGTATCAAGGTGATGTGAAAGTGGGAACCTATCCTTCACCCTAACAATTTCAAGAAACAATTATTTTAAACGAATTTTCTCCACTAGGTATGACATTACTTTGACATCTTATCGCACGTCTTTGAGTCAACTTCCTTCATTTTTTTTCTCTACGCTTGTTTTTTAAACGAAATGGAGTACTTATCAACTTTCCGTTGCACTCCCCCACTTTCAGGGGATGAATGTGTATCAAGGAAAGAAGAAAAAAAAAAGAAGAAAACGCGGTACAATATAATCAGAGCGACTTCCAAGGGGTTTCTCGGTATCTTAGAGTCGGGGGTTAAAAAGGGCGGAGTTTTTAAAATTGACAAATAAATTTCAGCCGGGGGGATGGAGGGTACCTGACCGCTCGGGGGGGTGGGCACCCCTTTCCGAGCCGAAACGTCGTTTGCAGGACGATTTCCCTCTCCCGGAGGGTAATTCGAGCGGACCGCCGGCATTAGGCGGTGGGTTGGAGGTCCGTTGAATTTTTCATCCCCCCTGAATAATGAATTAAATGTTCCGTAGCGACCCTCGGGATAGGAGGGGTGGCCACCCCCGCGGGTCGTTAGCGGGAGGAGTGACCATCGCTTTCGCTTTGTCGCATCCTCTTTTGTCGGGGCTCCTTAGGGCGCGGGGCGAGAAGACGGGAAAACAGGGGCAGCCAAGGGTGGAGGGAGGGAGGGAGGGGGGACAAGGTGATAATTTGATAAGACATCGGGAGGGTTGCCATGGATACGATACAAAACCCAGCCGAGAGACCGACCCCTTCGAGTTACCCTCTTCCACGCCTTCCTCTCGCACCCTCCGTGCGTGCTTCCTCCTCTGCCGTGTCCGCACCCGAGGCGCCACCCCCTGTCCCCTTATCACCCACCACCCACCCCCCGCGATGCTCCGCTCCGTCACAAGTGTCAAGTGTCCCGGCCCCCACTCAACCCATCCCTGTCTACCTACGACCTACTCCTCTAGCCAGTCCATATCCTGATGATAAATAATTCCACCCGTAGACCTGATACCTACATGTGGACTCTCTTATCAATTTTGGATCTTAAAGGGGAGGGGGAAGGGGTTTTCGAGGAAAATTCAGATTTTTCAAACTCCACTCTAGACAGTTCATATCTTGATAACGAATCATTCCCATATGCCTAATACCTATCCTGAAGATTTTCACGACTTAAAAGGATTCGATTTTTCCCGCGACCAGCCCCATAGAGACTCGGGCAACCAACCCCCTCTCTTCAGGGTGGCGCATCACATTCCCATCCGCCGCGACATTGCGAGGCCCGTGGGGGCGAACCAACCGGGGAAATATGCCCGGTGTATTGTTGTTTTTTTTTTCTGGTTTCTAACCACTTTCATCATCAACGAGCTCTATCGCCCCGTATTAATCACTTTCCGAGCGCGACTCCGACCCCCCTGCATTAAATACCCCCCGATGTCGATGGTGGAGAAATTCAGGAAAATATGAAAAAAAATTTTTTTTACGCATATATATATATATATAATAACGCGAATGACGGGGGTCCCCGATTATGGGGGGGCATATGGGGCGAGATTCCCACGGGCGACGGGACCTCGTCCCTTAGGAATCACTCGCAAGACATTAAGATTATTGGACCAGCCCTTGCGGATCGGGGGGTCCATCGGGTCCTGGGGTCCGTGGGGGGTCTCGCGCATGTTATCTGTATTATTTATCCCCGGGACGCTAATTGACGCGGCGGCCGGCTCGCGCTCACCTGTGTGTATGTAGGTGTGCTTCTTCATGTCGCTCTTCTGGTGGAACCGTTTCCCGCAAAACTGACAGGGGTACGGCCGCGTGTCCGAGTGGATGAGGAGGTGGGTGCTCAGGGTGCTGGACCGCTTGAAGGCCTTCCCGCACTGCTTGCACTCGAACACCTTCTCCGCGGAGTGCACCGCCCTGTGCTGCGTTAGGCTGATCTCGTGGCCGAAGGTCTTGTTGCACATCTCGCAGGCGAAGGGCCTCTTGCCGTTGTGCGACCTCCTCGCGTGGACCTGGGGGTGAGAAAAGAGCACATAAAGAAAAAAACGTCTCCACGAAGACGAAAAAATTTACACGAAAATACTCTTTTTTTCCTCAACAATCTTTTTCACGAACGAATGTTACCACTCAACACCTTTTCATGAACACATTTTCTTCGGTTGAAGTTTTTCCTCACGAATGAAATTCCATTTTTCTTGAGAATTATTATTTCATGACAGTTCTTTTTCCCCTTACGAGAATTCTTCCAAGATAATTGCATGGCAACTCCTCGCGATATCGAAATCACCCGGGAATAAATGCAGCGCTTCTTATCAACTTTAGATTTACTCCAAAAAAAATAGAAAAAGTATTTTTTGCATCGAACTGTGCGTTGCAAGAATTGAATTTTTATGCGTTTATGTAGGGACATTTGATAGACATCACATAGACCCCCCGTAAAGAATGGATTTAATCCCGCGTCTTATTTACATTCGAGTCGACAAGTGAAATCAGGGGTGCGCACTGACCTCGAGGCCGTGGGGGGTGCTGAACATCTTGTCGCACTTGACGCAGCTGTAGACATCGCCGAGAGGGTGGGGGTGGTGCAGTCCATGGGCCGCGGCGTGTGCCGAGTGGATGGCAGGGTGTCCAGGGTGGACTCCCCTGAGCAGGGGGTGCAGGTGAGGGGGCAGCAGATGGTGAGGTAGCAGCTGGGGGTGCAGGTACGAGAGGGGGTGGTGGGGGTGCGGGGGGAGCAGGCCACCCTGCAGGTGCAGCGGCGGGTATAGGATCGCCGAGGGGGCCGTCGCGGGGGGTGGAGGGTGGCCCCCCACCGACGCCACCTCGCGACCCGGCGAGACTCCTCGCGACGCCAGGAGCGGCGCCGACGGCGGGTCCGGTCGCAGCAGCGCCGAGACGCTGAACGAGTCCGTTGATCGTTTCGGTCGCGCCACCGTCGGCGACGTCGGCGACGGCGACGCCGCCGGGCTGGGGCCGCCCTCCCCGCGGTCTTCTTCGCCCACCTCCTCGACGTCCACGTCCACGTCCACCTCCTCCTCGTCCTCGACGTCCACCTCGATATCTCGCGGCGCCCCCGACGCCCCGTCGGCCGGCGTCGAGTCCGGCGACGCCGAGCGCGACGGCGACGGGCTTCGGCTTCGAGCTGGGGGAGACCCCACCAGTCGACCCACCCCGAAGGAGAGGCGATCTGTAAAATGAGACTCTCTGTTTAGAGATCTTGGAAGATTAATAAATATTGGGAGAGATTTTGGAATTTTTTTTTTAGGGGGGGGGGGAGGATTTCTCGACCTCGAAAACTCCGAATTCTAATTGCTGGCAAGTTGTAAGATTCTGGGGGCAATATTTAATAACCCAGCCCGAAGGAGAGGCGACCTAAAATGAGGAGACTTTTACGTTCTGAGGTCTAGGAAAGTTATCCTGGAAGAGAGACATTTAAAAGGAAAGGCAGCCTCCTAACATTTTTCATTCCCTCCTTTCCTTCCAATAAATCAGAAGATAATGTCGCCGCGAGACCGCACAGTCCCCATAAGAGAGGTTTGAAGTGGTCTTAAATTTCAAGGTCATTGAATATAATTTATTATTTAATTTCGGGATTAGGGATCCGAGGGCCCTCGAAAAGGGACCCGAAAAACGGAGAGGCATCCCTCAGGAGGTCCTTGCACGCAATTCGGGCACCCGTGATTTAGTGACGGGGCTCATCCCCTGCGACCGTCAAAAGGAGAGGAGACCGAATGTGATTAGCTGGCCGATAGATAATACGATTGCAGTGAGACGTCCGACGCGTGCCCGTCGCGACGCTCTCCCGGATTATCGATATAATATGTACCGAGGCACGTGGTGCGCGGGTGCATCCCGTTAATAAAGAGGGACCGGGACGATATTGGGCGCATTCCATTGGGGGCGGAGGGGCGTCGGCCAGAAGCGTCGCAATCGCGCCGATATCGCCGACGCATCCCCGTAAATCATGGCGGGGGATGAAATTGCGAGTCCCCGAAATGGAAAATGCCGTCGAAAATCCGGACTCGAGGGATGATCCCGGGGATGATCTCTCGGATGCTGCCGGCGTCTCTAGCGAAGCCTCGTTAGCGTTGCCCGACCCACCACCCTCCACCCACCGGGGGGAGGGGGCCTCCTACGTGACTCCATTTTCATTCCTCCAGGGTCGGCCTCTCCCCCGATCCCCTCAGGACCCCCGCAGACCGGATTCTCCAAAGCTGCGAGAATTTCGCCCGTGACTCGGAAATTTCCTCCCAGTGGGGTTATCATGAGAGTTATCGCGAGATTACGTGAGCCGGGGTTGGAGCAGGTAATGATTTATCCCGGTGATTAGGGGATCGATTTCGGCTTGCTCACTTTTCACGGCGACACGTGCTCGAGAATACATTTCGATAATGAGCAAATGCACCGAGAGAAATAAAAAAAGTGCATCGAATGATGTACATTTTCAATTCCAAAAATCATTACATGGCTTGTAAAAGTCATGCGATAATTCCGGAAAAAAAAAATAGACCGCTGCGTCCGATTTATTCCATTTTATTCGAGTGAAATATTCTTTGAATTAGCAAAATATTCCTTCGGTTAAATGAACATTTTTCTTTTTCTTTCGGTGCGCAAGTGGCGTTACAATTTTTTTTTTACTTTTCTTATCACTGCACGTTGGCGAGGAAATGCAAGGACCTACGAGATTGGAAGGCCGAATTTGCTTATCGTTCCCTCCTCTTGATCATCAAAATCAGGAGCAGGACGCCCATGGTCTAGGTCTTCTGATAACGAATTCTGAGATGTCAAGATTACGTCCGCAAGACCATTGTTTATCGTTTGCTCTTGTTGCTCATTTGCTTATCGTTCCCTCTTGTGGGTTATCAAATTCAGGAGCAGGACTCCCGTGGTCTACGTCTCTTAATGACGAATTCTGAGACGTCAAGATTACGTCCGCAAGACCAGAACCGAATCCCCTCGTCGCCGTCACACATGCACCTTGCGACCCTCCCCGACCCCGAGGACACCCCCGAAGAGTCCACCAGATGTTCACTGGGAGCTGCGCCTCGACTTCCCTGCACCCGCGCTGCATCTCGTCTGGCTCGTCCTCGGAATGCCGTAAAAAGCGACGATGCAGGGACCCTCGGCAGATGGGCCGGAGGTTGGTCCGGGTCGGACTCGCGTGGCGGGGATTTCGCAAGATTCCCCGAGTGCCTCCTGCTCCTTCTTTTGGACGTTTTTCGAGGAGCCGACCTTCGCCCTGCTCGTTTTCTCTCCTCGGTTGCTCGCCTACGAGGAACGGATGCGCCGAGAGACGCGGATTAAGCTTCCTCCCCTCCACCCCGGAGAAAAAACGGCATCGAATCGCGCTCGAGACCATCTTTGATGACGACCGCGAGGACGGTGGTTTGGATTAATAGAGTGAGGCCAAGCCAAGGGGGGACAATTAGATCGAGTTAACGACCACCGTTAATCCTCCGCCGTCCCTCGTGGAGCTCCCTCTACGGCACCGATCCTCTTTGCCGCTTTGACTTTCCGCCGCCATTTTACCTTGTAACCTCTCTTCCGGCTTCCTCTTAAACGGAGGAATTAACTAGGGACCGACTTCGCCAACGAGGCTGCGATGTACTCGCCGAACTTGGATTGGACTAATCACTCTGAACCGTCCTGGACATTGTTGAGTGTCTTCCAATTAGGGAAAGAAAATTATGCAGTTGTGCTTTTCAGACCGATCGTGAACAATTTTGACTCGTGCTTTCCACGTCGACGATGACAATAATATGTGAAACGTGGAATAAAATTATTCCTTGGTATCACTTTTTACCCCAAAGAACCAAATTTTTAGGTTATTAAATAATCTATGACATACAGATAATTCTGCCCTTACGAGATCCTGACAATTGCTAACAAATCAAAAATTCGTAAAACGGGAGTAAGAGTGAAAGAAAAAAGCGCGAAAATAAAATAGAAAAATTAAAATAGGGCATGAGATGTGTAAATTCATGGAAATAAAGACTCCTAAGGTGATACGAAATGATTACTGGATTTAAGGGTCAGGATCCTTAGAGTCTCCCAAGAGGTGGAGGCGCTCTTCGAGGCGGCGCCAGACGGCTTTGCAAGACGTCGCGTCTTGGCCGTTGAACGCGAGAAGTCGCTAATTCGGCGTAGGTACACCGAAGGGCCACAACTCGAGAACAAAGAGACCGACCGAATCCCGCGTTGCGCCTCTAATCTGCTCCAATTGGGGTGGAGTGCCCGAGAGAGAAGAGGGCACGCGTCACGCGTGCTGCCGTTTACAGGCCAATCGACCGACCGGTCGCTCCCTTAACGATCGACGACGAGGAAAATCTACCAAATCCACTTATCCCCCGCTCTACGTCCATAAGGACTCCAAGGGTAAACGGGAATTTCCCCTTCGAGTCGAAAGATGATGATAGAAAAAAAAAAGAAAAAAATAAATGACTTGGCGCGAAACTCTACCGCGTTTCTCTAGGCCCGCATTGATATCGCTCTATGGTAATGACGGTACCGCAAGGGTGAAGGTATCTCGTGAGGAATAAAATATAGAATCTGTAAATCGGACAATTAGATCAGGTACACACCTGAGTGACTCCTCGGCAGGGGTGGGAGGTCGGTCATCTCGTTGGCACCCCCGAAGGGGGCCCAGAGCCTCGGGAACAGCAATCGCACGTTGCATCCCCCTGGAAAAACGATCATACGATAAGTAAGACGAATATTATGCCCGACATAAATTCATAACAGGTAAAGATACAGGTAAAGGAACCGAGGGAAGAATCACGAGAAGGGCCCTTTACATCCCCAAGCCGAGAGATGAACAGCGGTGCATCAGGTGAGTTCGATCCGTGCCAACCCCTACTTTTGTTTTCCTTTCAATAACATGTATAAATTATTTGAAAGAAAGAAAGAAAAAAAATGTTCCAGGAGGGAGGAGGAAGCGAGTCCTGTTGGTTTTTTCTCGGTGCCCTGGGGAGTCCCTCCGAGGAGGGAGGTGGAGGCGCCAGAGGAAGACCACAGGGCCGATACGTCTCAAGCCTCGTCGAATTTGGTATTCCCGGTTCGTCGGAAAGATCAACCCCTCGACAAGAGCGTCTTTATTAGAAAGGAGGGAGCACCTCTCGTCTATTTATCAAGCCTGCCCCCGGACCATTACTCGTTCTCTTTCTGTGGAGCGGCGCACAGGCCGTCGCCCACCCTCCGGCGTCGCCGCCGCGCCCGCGGGAGCTCCTCTAAATTTCCACATCAAAGTTCCCCGAGGTCCGCCCCCGCGGCCTCCGGCGGGACCATCCCGGAAGCGATTACGAGCGAGGAACCGCGCGAGCGGTCGAGGTCGCGGGATCGATCCCCGCCAACCGCCGCCTTACCTCCGCACTTTTTTACCCCTCCTACCCCTCACTTTTTGCTGCCCTCACCTGTATCGTCCCCGATCCCAAAAACTAGTATCGATAGCCGCACATTTTTACCAGCCCCCTTTAGCTCACCTGTTTCGTCCCAATCTCGAAAAATGATATCGATAGAAATTTCTCAATCGAAATTGTATCGATACAAATTTTCGATCCATTTCATTGTGCATTCCTCGAGCTCCCCTGAGTGCCATATGAAGAGCCTCCGTTTGAATTTCAGGTTTTTCCTCTTTTTTCTCTTTTATTCGGATTTTCTTCCCTCTCACCTATTTCAAAGGAAATCGTATCGATACAAATTTCGGATCGAACTCATTACGCACTCTTCGAGGTCATACGAGTGCCAGATGAGGAGCCTAGATCCCCGAAACATTTTTTAATCGTCCACCTCATCCCCTTCCTGACCCGAGACCGAGAAAGCGCCCTCCGCTTGGTTTATTAAGGGGATGTGAAAGTACCATCCGAGGGGTCAATGGTTCACGAAACTTTTCTCCGAACCGGGCGTACCGAATCGTCTCAAACTTTACAGCATAAATATGTAGGCTGAAAGGAAGGTCCCGACCCTCGTGAATTTTCATTCCTCTTTTTTTCATTCTTTTAATACAAAAATTGAAAAATACCCATAAATATTTTTCCTTTTTAATTCTAGTTCCTGGAGTGTCAAGACCTTCCTCATCGCTTCCATATTCACGTTGTAGAGTTCGAAACGACTCTACACCCAGGTAGGAAAAGAAGTTTCACGAACGATTGACCTCTCGAATGCCACTTTCGCGTCACCTTAATGTTCTTTCTTTTTTCCCCCGATTATCCCTATTTTTACTTCCTCCCCATAGTATGTATCCTTCCCCCGATTAGTCACGGCGAATCCGTCAAGTGCGGCCGGCTAAAAAGCGTACCGTAATCCCTGCAATAGAAACGCCGGATAATCCGAGATACAGACCGACGGCCGCGCGAAGATTAGGCTTGCCTCGCCGCAAAGCTATCTCTCGTTCTCGCAGGTTTATCAGAGGTAAATCGTATTTTCCTATACACCGGGTGGGCACGGTGGAAAGAGGGCCGATAACGAGAGAGCCGAACGCCCGTGTTTGCCGTCAATCGGCGATATCGTCCCGCGGACGGCTTATCCTCCTCCCGCTATCGAATCACCATAAATCCACGAAAATCCGAAAAGAGAGAATTTAAACACACAAAGCAATCCCCGTCAAGTCTAACACCCCTAAGTACACCCTGCACCCCTGAAAAGAAAAAAAAAGAAACAGGGATGAACAATAATAAACCCGAGGAAAGTTTACCCTTAAACTAACTTAAAGCTGTGCAAACGTGGAGAGAGAAATGTCCCGTTCATAAAAATTTCCTTCAAGCCGTTTACGTTTAAATTTGTACATAATTGGAGGCCATACAAAAAAAAAGTACTGCCACCCTTAAAATTTCAATTTTTTCCAAATTCTTTATAGACGTTTCACCATTTTTTTTTCTTTTTTTTCTGTTGTAAGAAATGAAATTTCACGTTGTAGAGTTTGAAACGATTCGTTGTACCCAGTTCGGAGGAATGTTTCATGAACGACTGATTGATATGTTAATTGATATATATATATATATGTATAACGATATCGCGAGAAAGTCATTTATTTTTAATTAGAATTTCTTTTCTCTCTCTCTTTTTTTTTTTCTTTTTTGGTAATGGATTTTGTGATTTCGGTGAATTTTATCGCCAGTGATAACAGGGAGGTCTTTGATTAGCGCGTTAGAGGGGAACGTCTTGGCGGGGTCGCGAGGTGCAAAAATCAGGTGACACACCTGACAGATATCTCCACGGCGTCCATCACCTCTCAATTACCTGTCGAGCCACTTAGGCCTCCCCTCGCGGGGGTAGCTCGATATTATTGCTCTAACCCGATTAGGCCGATTAGAGGAGGCATTAGCACGGCAGACCGTCTAATGCCGACCATCCCCTCACCTGTTGAACGGACCCCATCCCGCTAGGGCACCTGCACGCACTTGAGTGCACGACAAGACTAATCTCCGTCGATATAGAGTAACCACCCCGGGCGATTCGAACCGCCCCTAACCGATCACTGGCATAGACACCCTCCAGACAGTTTCCTACCCTCTACCGAGGTGACCACAACATAATTCTAAAAAAGACCCACACACTTAATTGAATAAAATAGTAAGAAACTTAAAAGCGCCGCGCCTCGAATCTTAATATCCACTCATAAATTAATTAATTTCGAGTGACACCACGTTAGAGTTTTACAAGGTCGCGAAGGGAAATCTATGACCGTAGTTGATTAAGAATCGGTATTCTAAAAATTACAAACCCATTTTCCACCTAATAAACTGTGATTCTTTTCAGGGCCCCCACCCGACGTCCGTTCAGTTTCGAGGCGTTTTCAGGTATCACATTTGTGAGATTTTCAGGGATAACAGAGTTTGCCTGGCGGAAAGTCACCCTGAGCTAATAATATTTCTAAGATGTCCTCGGAGTGCCGGGTAAAAAATAATAACCCTGCAAATCGTAAGTTCACAAACTGTATATCGTACTGTTTACTTTTAAGGGATTCCGAGGGTCCACATTTGTGAAATTTTCAGGACGAACGGAGTTTGCTGCGCCTGACGGCGAGTGACGGAAAGTGACTGCAATCTAATGATACGTAGAAAAAAAAAAAGAGTGAGACCCAGGATCCCGAGTAAAAAAAAATACTATACCCAGGAAATGGGAAGTCCACAAAGTCTCCCTAGTACTCTAGGGTTTATTCCCCCCTCTCTTCTCAATCTCGCCCTTCACCACCCCCTTAAGCGTACCTTCCGCGTCGGGAATCTGTGGGCTTTCGTTGAAGTCATTGTTGTTGGCCTCAGTCGGCAGGTTCTGCCGATGCACCAGGGCGGAGGAGAGCTGCTTAGGCTTGACAACCCGGAAGGCAGAGGCCTCGGCGACCCCCCTGCGCGAAAAGTCGAGGGGTCCCACCCCGACAGGGGAGTGTCGCTGCTGGATCTCCATCATGGTCGGGCTAAACGTCGTGCCCTGTTCCGGTCGACATGCCCGACCCGGGGAGGCCTCTCCAGGAGTCGCGGCTCTCGGAGGAGGGAAACCGCACCCGAGAAGTCCCTACAGCATTGCCCACAGGGGGGCCTGCACCATTCCGCGCGCGTCTAGGGCCCGCACTGACCAGGGTGTCGTCCTGGTCGCAGGAGCTGGGCAGGACACCGGTTATAGACCGACTGCCCGAGCGGCGACTGCCGTTAACGCGCGCCCCGATAGCGCGGCCCGACTCGCGATGACGGACGCCGCTCGCCGAGAGAGAGGGAAGAGAGACAGAGAGGCCGCCGGGATTTCCGATGGCTCCGCCTCCCAGAAACGCCCCTGCATCCCTACTCCGCAGACCCCGCGGCGCCACCGCGGACGCCGCGGCCCCGACACTGCCCGAGGAGACGCTGCGCCGCCGGGGGCACGCGACCCCCACCCCCCGCGGGGGGGAGGAAGTCGATGCGACTCATCGTGCCTGGAAAACCAGACCAGGCTGGAATGAGTTTGGATTCTGAATTTCTTTGATTTTTTATCTTGACTTTGATGATTGGGGTGGGGAGGTGCATGTGGGGTGGTCGCCCTACGAGGGGGAGTAGATGTGACTTGCCGTGTGTGGAAAACCAGACTGGGCGCTGCTGGAATGAGTTTGGTTTCTGGATTTCTTTGATTTTTTTATCGTGACTTTGATGATTGGGGTGGGGAGGTTTATGTGGGGTGGTCGCCCCACGAGAGGGTGTAGATGCGACTCGTTGTGTGTGGAAAACCAGACTGGGCGCTGCTGGAATGAGTTTGGATTCTGGTTTTCTTTGATTTTTTTATCTTCACTTTGATGATTAGGGTGGGGAGGTGCATGTGGGGTGGTCGCCCCACGAGGGGGAGTCGATGCGACTCGTGTGTGGAAAACCAGACTGGGCGCTGTTGGAATGAGTTCGGACACGATTTCTTTCAATTTTGCTCTTAACTTCGATGATCGATGTTAGCTTGGCCAAGTAATGTGATTTCTTTCCTTGATTTTCTTATGTAAAATTTTGTACCATTTTGGTTAAGCCATTTTTTTTAGGGTTGGCATGGATTGCTGCGCAACGAGTGGAGGTTACGCCGAGATAGGGTATATATGTAGATGCGGGTACTGAGGTCGAGGTACAATAGCGCAAGGTGATAAGATTTCCGAGGAGCATCTTCTTCCGGGATTCGCTGCACCCATGCATTAATCAATGGCCTCCCCCACTGCGCAGGGAATCTCCGAGTGCAATCTCAACATTCGGGACGCCGAAAGATAAGGGGTTTCCGGAAATAAACTCTCGGCAGAAAATCCTGCCTCGGCCCATCGATCTTTCCGATAAGATCGACTCTGGGTATCGATAGCCAGGGCGGAAGTGTCGACGCTAGAATTTGATACGAATTTTAACATGTGTATCGCGTGTATCGATAAATCAGTTAAGAGTAGGCATCGATGTCTCCTCCTCGAGATGATTAATTGGGCGAATTTTAACATGTGTATTGTGTGTCGAGACTGATATCGGCGTCTTCTCATCGACACGATTAATTGAGCGATTTTTAACATGTGTATTGTGTGTCGAGACTGATATCGACATCTTCTCTTCGAGACAATTAATTGGGCGAATTTTAACATGTGTATTGTGTGTTGAGACAATTAATTGGGGGAATTTTAATATGTGTATTGTGTGGGCATCGATATATCAATCAAGTACTGATATCGACGTCTTCTCTTTGAGAGGATTAATTAGGCGAATCTGGACGCGTGGAAGTGAGAAATTTCCGGTTCCTCGGGACCGGCGATATCCTAAGCGGGCTCTTAAGATTGGTCGGTCTCGACAGGGTGTAACCGGAAACGGGAGACAAATTCTCGGGGGTGTGCCCGAACGGGACGGACGTGACGTGAGCGAGATACCGGATGTCAGCCGGGTGAGAGAAACCGCATCGATCATGCTCGCTCGCTCCGACCTCCAGGAGCATCGAGAGCCCCCGGGAAGAGTCGCTTCGTCTTCCCCGGGAAATTACTCTCTCTCCTCGAGGACGTCCTCTCCTTGCCGAAAAGAAAAACCGAGTCGGAAGGGACCGACTCCTCTTCGACCTCGGAAAATCCCCCGAAACCTTGGAAAAGGTATCGCTACAAAACCTCGACTTCCACATTTACCTGGATTTAAAAAAAGGAAAAGGAATTTGTTAACAATGAAATCACCCGAAACGATCCAAACAAAAAAATGAAATGTAAAAAATGAAATTTATCTCGATAAGGAGGGAGAAGTTATTCATAAGAGTATGAAAAGAAAAAAAAAGAAAATGAAACAAGATCGACGTAACGCGACATAACCTCGATCTCCATTTTCAGCTAGAAATCAAGATTATCGTTAAAAAAAAATGGAAACAAAGGCCTTCGGTATTATCTAGACTTAAAAAATATCAATCAACGAGGAGATTTGTACGAAAAAAAAATCTCGTGAAAATGTGTCGGGGAAGGTTTTGTCTCCTTTCCATTAAAACATTTTTTTTTTTCTGAATTTCTGAGTCGCCAGCACCTTCTCGTGGTGCCGATCGTAATCCTTATCGCCTATCGGGTGTTCCCAGGATCGGAATACGTGTGTTTGTTTGCGATTCGAAGACCGACGTGATTTACGGGCGAGCCGATAGCCTAATCCCGGGCACACCTATACGAGCTCGATCCGTCGATCCATAACCTCAAAGACCGATCCATAGCCCACCAAAGTGATCTATAACCCAAGATCGATCTCCAACGCAACACCGGCCGTGATTGCCGATCGAATTAGCGACGTCGCTTAACCCTTGCCCACGACACGTCGATGCGGCTCGATTCCTCTAACGATGACACTACTCATAGTGATAACGCGACTATTTACAGACTGATAGAGAGGTCACATTAAATGCGACGCAGATTCGGAACCATAAACATGGCGAGGCATTTGAAAGAATACCTGGACTGGTCAAAATCAGGAATTCGGGAGTAAGAAACTAGGTGAGGAAGTTGAAGAAATATTGGAGAAGGGCGGTCCGATAAGATGGGTCGTTTCGTCTTATCAAAGGAGTAAGATTTCGAGTCCCTGCCCTAGTAGCATAGAATAATTTCTAAATATTTCTTTGTAATCTTTGCTAAATATCTGAAGCGGCAGATTTTTTAAGATTTCTTGTAGATTTCGTTCGAAGATATCTGAAATATCTGTTGAAAATCTCAATGTCATATTTAGTTTCAATAATTTATAAACGTATATAGAAATAATATTTTTTAACCTATGAACATAATAAAAATACATTTTTTACTTCACGACTATTATCGGACACTTCATTTGGTGTCAAATACCACGAGAAATTTTGCTAATATTATCGTTCCGCTATTTCATTACGGGAGCAAAACGTGTGATTTTGATTTTAAATATTTTTAAAACGTTTACAATGTATTCGGTAGATAATATTTGAAAAATACTTGTATTAAAATGAAACTAAATGTTTTGTATGTCTGGTAGGAAAATATCATGAAAACACATGGAGCTAATATTATATAAATATTGTACTAAATATTTACAAAATGTACGATATTCGTTAAATGTATAGAAAATATAGGACAAATATTTTGTGCTACTCGGATGCATTTTTTTTGGACATTCGAGGGTTTTTGGGCAGCACCTGGGTTTTGAGTTGTTCCGACGTCGGTAATTGTTTTCTGTTTTTTTTTTTTCAAGTAACGACCAATTTCGCCCACCATGACGCTGTCCGATTGGCCGCGTCCTCGGCGTCGCGGCGCCATCGTTTCAATCCTCCGTCCTCTCGTCAGAGAAGCAAGTCGGACCCAACGTGGCGTCTCTCTTCGGCGGCTCGCCGGAGTGACTCACTCTCAATGAAGGAGCGCTACGTATTAGCGATCATCTTTATCAATTGGGATGTGGGTGATGGTTATTGCTCGACGAACGCTCGTTCCCCGTAATAGCGGCCCCAGATGGGCTCCTGCTGGTCCTAGGATGACCCGCTCGTGGAGGCAACCAGAAGTCGGCGACCTCCCCCGACATTTTCGGACGTGCCCCCAAATCTAAACCTACATATAAACGCAACTTACCCCAGAATTGCCAAAAGCTCCACCTTGAACCCCAAGATGCCATCCACACCCTGGATACATTCCCAATGTCCTTCAAACACGGCACAATCCTTCCTGTACCAGCCTGTAACCTCTTAACACGCCTCCAATACACAGTCTATTAACAACCCTCCAAAAATCCACCCCCCAGATAGCAGTAAAACCGCAAAATATTAAGTGAACAGAAAGTACTGACAGGATTCTATCGAATGTCTAGGCATTATTCGGCTTTTGCACCCCGAGTAACTTTTCAAGATGGCGGCGAATCGAGTCGAAAGTGAGGCCTGTGTGGTTTTCATGGGAAAGATGATAGCATATCTTGCCTCCCTTGGATCGTAAAGATCATATAAAAACAGGATCAATGTTAGAAGATCCATGCCCAATGGTCGGCGAGCATCGACAAGGCGCGAGAGTCGTCGACTCGGTTACGCTCCCCGGGTGCGAATTCCGTGGCAAATCTCCCCCAGCGCCGTCGCGGAGGAAAACATTTCGGGCAACGGCATGGGAGTCCGGCATATGGTCCCGGATCGTTTCCATCGTGAATTAACGCGCGACAAACGAGCGTGACCGCCGGGACCGGGGACGAGGCGCGCTCGTTCTCTGGGCGATGCGTGCCGAGGACGAGGAGGGTCTAGGGGGTTGCAGGGGGCGAGGGGGGTCCAGGGGATTTTCAGGGTGCCGACTCGGAGGCTGGGCGGTGTAATCCCCCGTAATATACGGACATATGCACCCCCGACCTCGCCTGATCCCTTGGGACTGATGTTTAGGGCCGATATTCATTAGCAGCTTCGCGCCCGTGATCAACTGCGAGCGCGACCGATGACCGATCCCCGCGGACCCGGAGGTCTGGACCATTCGGAAGGGGTTGATCGGAGAAAGGGGTACCCATTCCGAGTCTAAGGGTCCTTATTAAGGTTCTCGAGGGCGCCGAATACTGGATTCAAACTCTGTCCTCATCATACAGATTTGGCATAGAAGATCTTTCAGGGTAATTGACATCGATTAGGAGGTAAAGGGTATTCTATTCTAACGAGGAAGGTATCCCAGGTCGATCTCTCCGATTTGATTTCTTTTATAATATG